CCCAAGAAAGAAGAAAAATTGCCCACTGATGATGAAGAGTGGGGAAACTGGAAGGAACAGAGAGAAGGAGAAAAAATGGTTGATTACCTTGCAAGGATGAGATCAGTCTATGGAAAGGCAAGACCTGCAGGGCCAAAGGAAATACCTGCGGAACCGGCCTCCTCCTCTATAGAGGCAGCTCCCAAAGCAGCGGCCTATTATGAAGTGGATGGAGGAGAATGGTATTGGTGGGATGGCGCATGGGGCATGGGGTGACAAGTGGGAGCCGAAAAAGAAAAGAAGAAGAACAAGCACACGGAAGCTGAATGGGAACAGTGGTACAAGGAGCATCTGGATGAGGACACTGAGTCTTCCCAAACACCGAGAAAGCCAGCAGAACCGGAGACTCCGCCACCGGCCCAACGACCAAGGATTCGTCCGGGACAATCTAAAAAACTAGGTCTGGAAAAGCTTTTTAGCATTGTGGTGCACAGCACCAGCGTACCGCAACGGCAACTACAGTATGTTCCTTATGCCCATTGATCTATATCTGTTGTAGTTTCCAAGTGGATTCTATGCGTGTTTTTCCCAATATAGCCACGTGTTTGTGACCTGACCTGTTTTCTTATCCTTTTCTCCTTTCTTGTCCTTTCCTTCTATGATGTTCCTTCCTTCTCCTTCTCTTCTATGTTTCTATTGCCCGTAGATCTATATTTTCTGTAGTTTCCATAGGCATTCTATGTGTGTTTTTCTCACTATAGCCACGTGTTTGTTCCCTGTGGGGGATCTGGGGTTCATTGTTCTCTGATCCTCTTCTCTTTTCTTATCCTGTCATTCTATGATTTTTTTTTCCGTCCATCGCCTCTTAGCTTTCGCCAGGTCGATCAACACGCTATTGCATGCTGCATGTTGCCCATTAATTAAAGCAGTTGAAAATTCTGTCATCTCCTGTCATTCTGTCATCCTGTCATCCTGTCATTCTATGATGTTCCTTTCCTTTCCTCTCCTCTCCTCTCCTTTCCTTTCCTTTGCTTTCCTTTCCTTTCCTTTCCTTTCCATTGATCTATGGGCATTCTATGTGTTTTTTTCTCACTATAGCCACATGTCTGTGACCTGCGGGGGAACCTGTTCCCTTTTCTCGTGTCCTCTTCCCTTGTCTTGTCCTGTTCTCCTGAGAATGTTCCTTTCCTTTTCTTCTTTCTTTTTGGCCCATTGATCTATAGAATACCTGCTGTGGTTTCCACGTGCGTTCTATCTGTGTTTTTCACCACTATAGCCACGTGTTTGTGACGTGCAGGAAAATCTGGAGGTCCCTCTTTTCTTATCCTCTTCTCCTTTCTTGTCCTTTCCTTCTACGATGTTCTTTTCCTTCTATTGGTTTATTGCCCATTGATCTATCTGCTGTAGTTTCCATGGGCGTTCTATGTGTGTTTTTCCCCACTATAGCCACGGGTTTGTGACCTGCAGGGGAATCTGGAGTTCCCTCTTCTCTTATCCAATTCTCTTTTCTTGTCCTGTCCTTCTATGACGTTCCTTCCCTTTCCTTTTCTTCCATGTTTCCATGGCTAACTGATCCATCTCTGCTGTGGTTTCCACGTGCATTCTGTATTGTTTCTCCCCATTATAGCCACATGTTTGTGACTTGAGTTCGTTTTAGCAGTTTCTTCCCTCTTCTTCTTTTTTGTTCTATAAGGTTCCTTTCCTTGCCTTTTTTCCCCTACTGGAGGGTTGTTTCGGCAGATTTTTTTGAAGGGGAATACGTTTTCGGTTCTGGACACAATTGTAAGACGGGGTATACCAGTAGTACCGCACAAGGCGGTGGCGGAAGTTTCAAAAATAGGAAACCTATAGGAGAGGTTGGTTGTTGTGAATCACGGATGGCAGAGCGAATCCACTGATGGACCGACAGGTGGTTGGAGTTGTGTTTTTTGGAATGGCTGCAACGGCTGCAGTGGTCACCTTACCACAACTGCTGGATGTACTGTGGTGTAGTGCAGTTGTAGTTTTAGTTGCAGTTGTAGCTGTAGTTGTAGGGTAGTGCAGTGTAGTGGAGCCGTAGCTGTAATGTAGTGTAATTAGTGTATTTGCAAATGCAGTTGCAATTGTAGTCGTGGTGTGGTGTACTTAGTGTAGTGTAGTGCAGCGTAATGTCGTGTAGTGTTGTGTAGTGTAGTGTGGTACAGTGTAGTGTAGTCTAGTGTAAGGTAGTGTAGTTGTAGTGGTGGTGGTGCAGTGTAATTAGTGTAGTGTAGTTGTAGTTGTAGTTGTAGTTGTAGTTGTAGTTGTAGTTGTAGTGTAGTGCTGTGTAATTAGTGTAGTGTAGCGTAGGGTAGTGTAGGGTAGTGTAGTGTGGTGTAAGGTAGTGTAGTGTAGTGTAGTGGAGTGGAGTGGAGCGGAGTGTAGTGTAGTATGTGTAGTGCAATGTAGTGTGGTTGTAGTTGTGGTTGTAGTTGTGGTTGTAGTTGCAGTTGTAGTTGTAGGGGTAGTGTAGTGTAGTGTAGCGTAGTGTACTGTAATGTAGTGGCAGCTGTAGTTGCAGCTGCAGTTGTAGTTGCAGTGTAATGCAATGTACTCAGTGTAGCGTAGTGTTGTGTAATGTAGTGTGGTCGTAATTGTATTTGTAGTTGTAGTGTGCTGCAGTGTAATTAGTGTAGCGTGGTGTAGTTGTAATTGCAGTTGTGGTAGTAGTTGCTGTTGTAGTTGTTAGTGCAATTGCCGTAGTGTAGTGTAATAATTAGATGTAATTAGTGTAGTGTAATGTAGCGCAGTATATTTGTATTTGCAGTTGTGGCAGTAGTGTAGTGTCTAGTGTAGTGGTAATTGTAGTTGTAGCTGTCTATCTGTCTATCTGTCTATCTGTCTATCTGTCTATCTGTCTATCTCTCTCTCTCACTCTCTCTCTGTCTGTCTGTCTATCTATCTATCTATCTATCTATCTGTCAATGCAAGCTTGAAAACGAAGCAATTCTGCGAGACTTCTTCATTTTCCAAAGTTTGACAACACCAAAAACGAAGCAATTCTGTGAGACATCCTCAACTTTTGAACTTGACAACGTCAAACATGAAACAATTCTGCGAGACATCTTCATTTTTCAAATTTGACAACATCAATAACAACGCAATTCTGCGAGACTTCCTCATTTTTCGAAGTTGACAACATCAAAAACGATACAATTCTGCGAGACATCCTTCAAAAGTGGAAAGTTGAGTGCAGCGCTGACGGCCTCGTACCAATGCGTTTTGCGATTTTTCCACTCCGCCTGTCTAAAGTACTGCGCCTGCCACGTAAAAGTGATGCCAGGTCATACGAAGTGCTGCACCTGTCACGCAAAATCATCTTAGCAAACCTACAGATCTGATGCTCCAAAATGCAACCCATCTCAGGAAAGCAGCGCCCTGACCTCCTAACATCTCTGATGAACATGCCTTTTGTACTGCGCCTGCCACGCGAAATGCACCTTTGCAGATCCTCTTCAAATGTCCCACGCCTGCCATCGTTTTTGGAAATGCTACAATACCTTCACCTTTTGCTCACTTTTGAGAAGGTGCACAATCCCTTGCGCCTGCCACACGAAACGACATCTGAACGTCCAAAAGTGGTCCGAACCCCTGGTCTTTTTAACATTTTGACTTCGAAACGTGCTTCGCGCCACAACAGCGTGCACTTTTTCGACATCTCAACGTCCAAAAGTCCTCCGAACCCCTGGTGTTTTTAACATTTTGACTTCGAAATGTGCTTCGCGCCACAACGACGTGCACTTTTTCGACATCTCAACTTCCAAGTGGTCCGAAGCTGAGGTTTTTTCTACATGTTACATTTTGACTTCGAAATGTGTTTCGCGCCACAACGTTTTTCGACATCTCAACTTCCAAAAGTGGTCCGAACCCCTTGTTTTTTTCATTTTGACTTGGAAATGTGCTTCGAGCCACAAGGACGTGCACTTTTTCGACACCTCATCTTCCAAAAGTAGTCCGAAGCTGAGGTGTTTTGTACATGTTACATTTTGACTTCGAAATGTGTTTCGCGCCACAGCGTTTTTCGACATCTCAACTTCCAAAAGTGGTCCGAACCCCTGGTTTTTTAAATTTTGACTTCGAAATGTTCTTCGCGCCACAACGGCGTGCACTTTTTCGACATCTCAACTTCCAAAAGTGGTCCGAATGTGAGGTGTTTTTACCTTTTTCACTTGCAAATGTGCTTCGCGCCACAACGGCGTGCACTTTTTCATCTCTCATCTGGCCAGATGGCTTCGCACCCGCCGCTTTAGCGAGCCTACTTTTCGACCGTCCGCAGCCACAAGTCATTGGAAAAACATAGTGTTTCTCGACTTTCCTGCCTTTTCGCGCATCTGCATCTTCTTTCTTCTGACTCTTTCTGTTCTCTGATCTTCTACTCTTCTCTTCTCTCTGACTCTTCCCATCTCTTCTTTTTATCTGTCCATATTGTCGGAAATTTGACTTCTAAACTTCCTTCCATAGTTATGGTCATATGAGTCATAATATTCATATTAACAACACATATTGGCTGACTGAAACTTACCTTTTTTGCTTGCAACGTTGGGAGAGAGAGAGAAAAAAAAACATACATATATATATATATACATACATTTTTTTCATATATATTTATATATATTTATATATATATGTATATATATGTATATATATGTATATATATATATTCATATATTTTATATATTTATATATATATATAAATATAAATATAAATATATATATATATATAAATATATAATATATATATATATATATATTTAGAGAGTCGGTGATTGAAACCTGAAAATATATATTTAATAAAATGTAATAAAATATAATAAAATAAAATATAATATAATTTAATATAATATGTATAAATTTGCTGTTCGCAACCCATTCTATGTTACACGTCATTCTATGTGTTCCTGGTGAAATTTTGGAAACTTTTACTTCATTTTAACTTTCGTTTTTGAGTAAAATTGTTACATTTTTTTGAAACGTGTTTTTATGCAGCCATTGCATAATTCGAGCAGACATTGCCTTGACACACTTCATCGTGCGAGGGTGCGAAACGAGGCACCTGGGAAACTAATATGGATGGTTTGGTGCGGTGGTTTGCCATTATGAATGACATGTATCAGGAACAAACCACAACAAAATTTACAGCAGGCCAAAGCGAAACCAAAAGAAAATGACCATCGATTTGGACGATTTCTTCACATGCACATAAAAATGAGAGGTTCAATCCCAATTTTTGTTAGTTCTTATTTTTTGTTGTTGTTTCAATTTTTGGTTGTTTCCCAACTTTGGTGGCTAAAAAATTGCCGCCCAGGTCATGTTTTTCGACGACGAAGGCCACGAGTCCACGCGCAACGGCGGTTTTTTGGCCGCCACGAGTTGGTTCGAAACATTAAAATTTCACCACGCAAAATAAAGAAATCGAGAGTTCCCCATGTTTGGAAAATATTTGTTGAGATGTAATGGGAATATAGTGGGAAAAAAACAAAATAAAATTGAGACTTGTATTGAAATATCATGAAATACAGTTGGATGTAGTAGGATGTAGTGGGAATATAATTGGATACATGGGGGTATAATGGGTATGATCAGGGTGTACTGCGCTATTTCGTTTGGTACCACTTAGAGGTGAATCCCCGAAGAAGTGTGGTCAATGGTAAGCGCTCTCCCGAAAGATTGGCATGGGTCAATTTTTTTTGGCTCCCCAACGTATGGATTTTGGCCATAGGTACGCAAAAATATCATGTGTTTGGCTGTATTGAGATTTGATCCACGCCCTCATAGTCAATGGGGATTTCGTTGACTGAAGATGGTACAAAACTCGGCAAACACTTTCATGTGACAAAACAGGGAATCAAGCATCATGATGAGATATGGTGATTTCTGGACATTGGGGACCCCGAAATCATCCAGAAAAAACGTTATTTTCAACGGGGAACCAACAGTTTTTGGGTACCAATTTGATAAAGAACCACAGCATGAGCTAACATCACCAATTCCGCGGAAACGACAATTGAACAATTTGAATCAAAAAATGGTAATGGAAAAACGATGAAAAACGTATGATTTGCCAAATCTGCATTTTGGGGTCGAGGGATTTGAAGGTTTTTCCCAAGGTTTGACCAAACGGCGGAGTCCCTGCAACATTTTGCTTTGATCTTGCGGATTATGATCTCACCTTGCAGCTTGCAATGCACCATTATATGCATGTGCATATATACACTCCTACTTATTCTACATATGCATATGGAAGTTTCCTAAAATGAGGATGCCCCCAAATTATCCAAATTAGACCACGACTTGGTATTGAAACGTATTGTTGGAGACGATCCCCCGTTTTCCTTTCACCTATCATATCCACATTGAACGCTATCCCCGGCAGATCCTGTTTTAGACCAAGGTCTCCGCCGGAAGTTCTTGGAAGCCTTTGCAGGCGATCCCAATCGCTACCCCTTCCAACCAGTGGAGGAGGGGTAGACTTTCCGATGTCTGGCTGGGGTTGGTGAATGGGGCATACCCTCAATACTGGCGTTTTTCCTAGGGAATATGATGACTCACTGGATGGAATGGGATATCCCATTTTTAGACAAACCTATATTCTGCTTTCTGAACCTAAATTAGTAAATTACCCTAAGTTATGATATGTCACATTGATTGAGTTGATATTTTTTGGTCAAAATGTATGGTTGGTACTTCCGAAGGTTCCCAACATGCTCTGGCCTCATGTGGCCGGCTTGTTTTGGTTTCGATTTCTTCACCCTGAGGATACTTATCGCAGACGTGAAGACTACTATGTCACCATGCAAGCGAACGTGCTGGCAGAAGCGGTTTGCGGCTTTCACAGTGGAGCCGGGAACGTTCTGCTGCATTGCCGCGCGGTGTATGATGCTCTGTCGGCGTATCGCCCTGTGGATGCTACGGGAAGACGACCACAGGTGGGGTCAAGTTGTTGGCAAAATGGGATCGTCCATCCCGAATTTCACCATAAAATGGTGATAAATAAAATCCCCAATGGGTGGTTTATGGCACTGTTTTACCTACATGAATATTTTTGGGGCCCACCTCACTTAACAATTTCCAGGTGGAAGCTGAGTTACAACTGAAAGACACCTCACTTAACGATTTCCAGGTGGAAGCTGAGTTACAACTGAAAGACAACATCGTAGAGTTGAACGGTTCTCTCTTCTGGGTCACCAAGTGCGAGGACATTGAGGGGTGACACTTAGCTTAGCTGGGTGTGGGTGTAAAATCAGGGGTACCTCCCAAATTTGATGGTCTATTTTTGTCATCATTTTGCATTTTTATTGGGCTATACCTTGGGGTATAGAGGGGCCATTTCTTTTTTCTGTGGTACAAACATCAGATGGCTGGTTGCTGAAGCAAGAAAGTGATGCCGTGATGCCTGTAGTTTAGGACGGATGGGCCGTCACCCTTAGTACCGAATACCAAGTCACCTCAAGTGGCCATATCGCAAGACATGACACAGGGCTTCGTTAAAAAGCTCGGGGGCGTACGGATTGTGTACGGATTGTACGGTGTACGATGTATATTATCCTCCTTGCAATCCAAATATTATGGTGAAATAGCAATTTCAGTAGAATTGAAATACCAATTGTTGCTAAATCCCACTGAAATTCCAGTTTTGTTGGTCAAACCAAACAGTAAACCTGAAAATTCATTTTTCGATTGGCCCGAAGGAGGAAAGTGGAGAGACTGCAGTCAAGCTGAAAGGATTTTCGCTTGAAGGCAGAAGCCTGGAAACGGCTTTGCAGCGTCATGGCGTTGCTGAGGGACGCCTGAAAGTTCGTCTCTTTGCGGGGGATTACCTGGTGAGGTGCGCGGGCAAGAACTCCGGTGGCTGGGTGGGTGGCTTGATGCCCTCAAAAATATGAGGAAGGGATATGGGCCGATATGGGGATGGAATTTTTGCAAAATCTGGGCTTGAAGCCTTTGAAGCTACTCAGATGGCTTACCAGAAAGATCAGCACATTTTGTGGTTGCCATCACGTATTTCTAGTGGTCCAGGGTTTCAATCTCTTTACACCCACAAAAAAGTGGAAAAATCGTCGGCCGAACATTGAATTCCGATGTTTTCGTGCCGGATGCCGATGTTTTTTTTGCCAGGTACCAATGCGCTGCAAGCCTGCAGATTTCAGCCCCAAAGAACCTGTCGTTGGAGCGAATGGTCTTGAACCCCACACGGCAAGATCCTGGAACCTATGCCATGTGCCGACCCTTGCAGCCGCGGTTGATGCCCTTCAATGAGGTGAGATATTGTGGATTTGTGGAGATTGTCGTACAATGGGACAATGGAATACTGCCCATTCCATACGGGGATGTTGACCAACCAGCAAATGGAGATATAAGTTAAGCCATAATTTGGTTGGTGATTAGTTGTGAGGTTAGATACCGATCAAAGGAAGATTATTTGAACAAATCAAGTGTGGGAGCCCCATGAAATGATATTTGCACATTTTAAGAACCCAGATGGTTCTTGATAACATTTCATGAGGATTTTGAACATCACATCACCAAAACCAAAAAATCTTATCGAAGTCAATGGGGACTTTTAAACTTGATCAGTTTAGGTGCCAAATCTTTGATGAATCCCTGTGAGGACCAAGAGCGTGCCGTGAAGTCTCTGAGTTCTCGTGTCGAACTCATTCACGGCCCACCTGGGACGGGTAAGAGCACCACCATCTTCCATGTGTTGAGTGCTCGAATGCCTGCAGGTGCAACAAAACCGTGGATGTTGGATATGTTGGTTTCTTGGAACCATGGAAATGATATGAATGATCTCCCGATGACACCAGGTTTCTTCAGCCTTGAACTCAAGGCTTCTTGTAACAATTCCCTTCAACCAATCCATTTGTTGTTGCTTGACGTCCGAATTTCAGGTTGAAGTTGAAATCCATTCTTTTGCTTTAACGCACCATTTTTCTTGCTAAAGTTAAATTCTCCATTATTGTATTCATCAACTATTCCCAACCTTTTCTGTGGTATCCTGTGGTGAAATCCCCAAATTTTGTTACTAACCACCAGCACGTTGTGTTGCTTAACACCAGCATTCAACCGATCCATGTTTCAAATCCGTTACCTGGTGCGGCCAGGTGCGGCTTCGGTCGTCACCTGTGTAACGAATCAAGCCATTGATGCTGTGTCCGAGAAGCTGGCCATCACACACGAGGTCCTGCTGCCTTTTTTTGGGCCTTTTTGGTGAGAAAAACAAATCAGCAAACATTGGGCGATTTCACCCAGAAACAGCCAGAAACATAGGGATTTTTTGAAATCGCGTGGAGAAGAACGTCAGAACTGGGATTTGAGTAAAACCATGGTGATTTTTTTGTGATTTCGTACGAGCACACCCTTTCAATCCAATGGTTGAGCATGGTTTAGACATTTTTTCTTCTTGAAACTGCCATCGCAATCCGAAAAAAAACAGGTTGTAAATGCCAGGCGACCAACGGCATGCGGATCTTGGTGCTGGGCAATCCGAGCCGTGTGGGCAAGACGGCTGGGAGGTATACTTTGGCGAATTTGTGTCTGCGCGATTCATTGGTGGTGACTGGGCGAAAAACCATTGAACACCCCTTCGCAGTCCGCTTTGAATTTTGCCGCCTTTGCACTTCTGTACAGCTGGATCTTGTTTTTGCATACTTCAAAATCCCCCCATTCCATGACTTTGTATGGATAGTTTCGGTGATTTTCGTCGTCAAGTTTGAGTATTGCAGCCCTTTTTTCAGTCGAGATGATACCAAAGTTTAGGTCCCAACAGGACTGATTCCCTCCAGTTCCCGCTGGCAGCTTCATGCCCGTTGGAACTTTGGCTGATTTGTAGCCAACTTGCCAAGTTGAAACCCGATTTTTTGCAGCCAAAATCAGCCAAAGTCCTCTAGTAGATTCTAGCCTTGTTGGTTTTTACCATTGAGGTGAGCATGAAATGGGCCCTGAACCTCCTCCAGAAGGTCTTGAAGTCCGTTGAAGCCTTGCAGCAGGCCCGACAGCAACGGCTTTGGAAGGCCCACAGACGCTCGCGCTTGAGTTTCTGGGTGGGAAACCAAGACCCTGTGCTTTACCAACCTGGCTGGAACCACCCCTTAATGATTTTGGTGTGAAAGAAAGGGAGTTTCCAGCCGTGTTTGTTCACTTTTTATGCTCCTTCGTTCCATCCCCAAGCATTAGGAGAAAGCATTAGGAGATGATTTTCAGTTGACGAGTTTTTTTTCGCCCGGATGGGTGGCATTGGGTGGCTCAATCAACCACAAACCAGGTTTGTCATACATTGAAAATTTGCCAAGTGTCCGAAGATACAAACTAGACCTTCAGCACGACGCGATGTATGGCCGACGGCAGCCAGCGAATTTTGACCCGCTGCAGTTCTATTTGGATCGCCTGAATTCTACCAAGGAGAGGGGTTCGCCGAAACCTTTCGGCTAAATCAATTCTCAATTCGCTTGTTTTTCTCCATTTCGGAGTTTCAAAAACTTTGACAGGAGAAGATGGCTCGTGTCGTGGTCCGTAGCAAGGCCATGCGTGTGCCCAGCCGGCAGCCACCACGCCTCCCATGGTACGGCCTGTGGCGACGGCTGTGGGACGTGGAGAACTTCTGTCAGCGGCTGCGGCGTTGTGTGCAGAGGGCGCAGCAGGCGCTACATGTGGCGAGGGACACGGCGGAGAGGCGAGTGGTGCGGCAGACGCGGGTCTTTCTGTGCACCATTCCGTCCAGCTATCAGGTGGGAAAAGATGGGAAAAACCATGGGAAAATTGGAAGGAGATTGATGAAGACCAGGGCAAAAGCTTTTTCCGCATGCAGTGTATACTGCGGAATTGCACGCGTAATCCTAGAAATACAGTTGGGATTTAAGAACGTGTTGGTGTTTGAACCAAATTTCATTTGTGATTTGAGGTTGAAGGAATCATCATATGCGTTTGTCTCAAAATGACGGATGCCCCAAATGCGAAAATGGGTTTTAAAACACCGGATGGAATTTGCTTTCACTTTTGAGGCAGCCTCGATTAATTTGCAGGCCTCGATTAATTTGCATCCAACTGTAGATATATACAGCAGAAACATAACAGTTGGCCTTGTTATAGATTGCTAATTCTTGTTCGCCATGAAATAGTTGGTTACTCAAGTAGAATCATTGTCTTTTTTACTGTTTTCATCTGACTTAGATTCTAAGATTTTCCTATTGATGGTTCGGTGAGAATTCCCCTTGTATCCTTAACCCCTTGGTTTATTACTATTTTTCCTATTCAAAGCCCCTGTATATATTATATCAGGATACCTTGGCCTGAGAGTTTCAATATCGGCCTGATGTAGTTTTGGCAAAGCCCCAATGATCATCATATCTTGGCTTGAAATCATAGAGATCGACCAAACACCCCTTTGTGACCCGAAATAGAAGGGCTATTTTGGGGATGAATAACCACATATAACAACCGCCAGAAACTAATAATAGGGGCGACATTTAACCGTTAAAGACATCCCATTTAGATCCCATTTTTTCATGGTGTCCATATTGAATCCCTATGAGATCCACCTTGATTTTCCTTGTTGAATACCAACTATCGATATTTATCCATGCTCAAATCCCCATCAATTGACCCTTTCAATATCATCTCTATGGTTAAATGCCATGAAATCCCATGAACATCCCATAAAAATCCCATGAAATCCCATGAAAATCCCATGAAATCCCATGAAAATCCCATGAAAATCCCATAAAATTCCATGAAAATCCCATGAGGATCTGAAGATCCCATGAAAATCCCTTGAAAATCCCACCATTTCCAATTTGGTTCAGCCCACCAAAATTCTTTCGCCACTGCCAGGTTCGAAAGCTCCAGGAAGACTTCCCTGACGACTTCCCCAACCGTTTGGCCATGAGCATCCTCGACGAGGCGGCGGCTACGGCGGAGACCTACGTGCCGCTGGTGATCAGTGGCTCGGAAGGGGAACTGTAGGACCAGAAATGGTGGGGATTGTATGTGATTTACATGAAATATGGGGATAATATGAATGTAATATGTCCGGATTTTATGGGATTTACATGAGATCAATATGGTATTCGTACGGGGATATGGGGATATATAATATACAATTTCATGGGTTTTTCCAAAGTGAAGACTGAAGATGGCGATTTATTCAGGGTTGTTTTTTGTCCCATCCATAACTGGGGGTAACCCGAAAAAACCATCCATTTATAGATGGAAATTCCCAGCTGTTGACCATCCAGCTTTTGGGTAGCCCCTATTTTCTATGGAAACCCCCATGGTGATTTCCTATGGAAATCTGATAAATTGGTGTTTGTATGGGAAGAATATGGGGATCATATATTATTTCATGGTTTTTTCTAAACCTAAGATGTTTTTTTTTTTAAATCAGGGTTGTACTGTATGTCCTGGCTATGCGGGTCCTGCGGGTGTCCTGCGTCCGATCTATGAGGTGGAAGGTAGATGAATAAACAGGGTTTCATGATGTTGTATAAATGATTGCCACTAAGGGGGAAAAAATCAGGTGTTTGGAGCAACCCTGTCAAATGAGATTTAAGCGGGATTTAACCAAACGCACATGGGAAATGATGCGGATATGGGGAAAGATAGGAGAATCATCAAACTTTACAAGGTCAAGGTACTGAGGGGTAAAACTGGGTTCTGGGCGCTCCTTTTCCTGGTCTTCGTAACAAAGATGGGGGTAGAAACTGCACAAAAAAAAGGGTTTATTTTTGAGTAGGGAAAGGACTGCGGGATCTGTGATTTGATACACCAAATAGGCTCCAATTGTATCCTGTTGGATCCACATCCAACATCTCCACTATCAATCCCCAATCCCCACGTTGACGTCGCCAAGGTATTGGAGTGGAGAACCTGGTGATGCTGGGTGACCACAAGCAGTTGAATCCCTTGGTGTTGGCCACGGGTGGAGACCGAGAGATCAAGGACCTTGGAATCGATCAATCATCAAGACCCATTTGATGGTCAAATTCTCAATTTCTAAAAACTGAACCCTTGAACCATCCAAGTTTTTTTTTGGGTACCCCAGTAATTTTGCTATATTTTGATCCATGGCCAGCTGAGTTCGCCGGTTAGGACAAGAACGTGGATCGCAGCTTTATGGAACGCGCCATGGCCTGCCAGTGTCCCTTGCATCCGCTGCGGATCCAGTACCGGATGCCGGAGGTCTTGTGTCAGTTGGTCTCCCAGCTTTTCTATGGCAACTCAGCTGTCAGTTGGTCCTCCAAGCAGATGAATGTCACAAGCTCGTAGATCAGGCAGTTCTCACATTTCTAAAATTGAAGGGAAACATCAAACATCACATTGTAGTGCAGTTGCAGTTGTAGTTGTTGTTGTAGTTGTAGCTGTAGTTGCAGTGTTGTGTGATGGTAGCTGTAGTTGTAGTTGCAAATGTAGTTGTCGTTGTAGGTGAAGTGTTGTTGTAGTTGTAGTTGCAGTTGCAGTTGCAGTTGTAGTGTAGTGGTAGTTGTTGTAGTTTGTAGTTGTAGTTGTAGTGTAGCTGTAGTTGTAGTTGTACTTGTAGTGTAGTCGCAGTTGTCTATCTATCTGTCTATCTAAATATCGGTTTATCTATCTGTCTATCTATCTGTCTATCTGTTTATCTGTCTGTCTGTCTGTCTGTCTGTCTGTCTGTCTGTCTGTCTGTCATTCGATAAATCCCATCAAAACCATGCTGATTCTTAGGCCCAGTCTATCGTTGCAGATCCTCTTCAAATGTCCCACGCCTGCCGCCTGCCATCGTTTTTGGAAATGCTACAAAACCCTCACGTTTTGCTCACTTTTGACAAGGTGCATAATCCCCTACGCCTGCCGCGCAAACATCTGAACGTCCAAAAGTGGTCCGAACATGTGGTGTTTTGAACATTTTGACTTGGAAATGTGCTTCCCGCCACAACGGCGTGCACTTTTTCGACATGTCAAGTTCCAAAAGTGTTCTGAGGTTGGTATGTTTTGCACGTGTTTACTTCGAAATTTGCTTCGCGCCACAACGGCGTGCGCTTTTTCCACATCGCAACTTCCAAAAGTGTTCCGAACGTGAGGTGATTGGTACATTTTGACTTGGAAATGTGCTTCGTGCCACAACGGTGTGCACTTTTTCGACATCTGAACCTCCAAAAGTGGTCCGGACCCCTGGTGTTTTTAACATTTTGACTTCGAAATGTGCTTCGCGCCACAACGGCGTGCACTTTTTCGACATCTCAACTTCCAAAAGTGGTCCGACAATGGTGTGCTTTCTAAATTTTGACTTGGACATGTGCTTCGCGCCACAATGGCCAAGCCTACTTTTCGACCTCCGGAGCCACAAATCATTGGAAAAACGCATTGTTTCGCGACTTTGCTACCTTTTCGTGCACCTTTTCTTTCTTCTCACTCTTTCTCTTCTCTGATCTTTTCTCTTCTGCTCTTCTCTTCTCTGACTCGTCCCACCTCTGCTTTTCCATCTGTCCAGATTGTCGGAGGTTTGACTTCTAAACTTCCTTCGATAATCCATACCCACAAATTGATGATCAATCTATTCACTTATCTTCTTCACGCCAAATTCCAATCAACTATCATACCAGTTCTTCTTCTTCTTCATTTATTCCAATGCAATTTTAGCTATTATTAACCATTATTAATATGAATATTCACTACTATTAACTTTAATAACTAGTATATAGCATTAACATTAATTGCTTTTAAGAAATATCATTTTCTTTAACCCCATGAACTCACCATTCCATTTCACATTAGTAAGACATGTCATCGCTCCATCCGAGGTGGACAGCTGAGGAGCGACTTGTCCTGTCAGATTGGCGGCCTGCGGCTCTCGGGCTCGGCCCTGCGCTGGCTGCAGATCCACGAGATGGAAACGGAGGCGAAGCGGGCGAAGCGGTGGCTACGGGGGTGGGGCTGGAAAGGCACAACCTCCGGGATTTCTATACAGTAGCAAAATAATTACATACATATATATATATATTTAATATACATATAATTATGTAAATATGTATAATACACATATAGATATGTATATATAAATACGATATATATATATATATGATACATATATATATATATATATTACACATATGATATATATATATATTTACAAACATGATACATATACTATGTAAATAAATGACATATATATATACATATATATGATACATATGCATATACATATATAAATAGATAAACGTATATATATATATATTTATATATTTATTTATTTATCTATGTATCATATATATATATATATCATATTATATATATAATATGATATATATATGATACATAAATAAACAACTATATATATACAGGCTACAATACCACATATATATATATATGTTTATGATACATATATAAAAATATGATACATATATATATATATTTATGAGACATATATATATATATATTATTTTATGATACATATTAAAGAACATATATATATATTATAAAGGTTAAATATGCATAAAATTTCTCCTACCAACAGTAGGCATCCCCTTAGACCCTGTGGTTTGGTTTTGGTCTGTAACTGGGTTATATATGGGTTGTTAGTTCCCCCAACTATATTGCCTGGGCATTTCCCAAAATCATGGCCCATGATTGAAATGGCAATTGAAACATAGAGAACAGTTTGGGAGAAACCGACATTAATTTGCCTGGAGACACCACTTTTTGGTGGTTAAATGGTGATTCCAACCGCCAACTGTAGCATTTATAGAGGGACTATGAGGAAGGCTGCGAGTGATGCTGGGATCAGTTAAATGGTTTGTTAAGCGGTTACCCCCAAGAACTGGGAGTGGGGGGGGGGTAAGGGACGGGGGAGAACCGCATCCGCCGTCGTTTTCATTCGCTTTACTTTGGTGGGTTCTATCATATTTTCGAAATGCACCTAGCAGTGCGTGATATCGCCATTCATTTATATGTCAAAAAAACTCTCGGTCAATGTTCAGCCCCTGAAATTTTGCCATGAAAATACAGATTTTGGTGATTTCGAATCATTTTTTAACCACTTCCAACCTGCAGGTTGGTACGTCCAAGATCAATTGCGCAGAAGTGAAACACATTGTGGCTGCGTTCCTGGGTGATGCATCATCTGGGGATTGATCCATTGAAGTCTTTGGGTGCCAAGTGGTATGATTTCATGGGTGCCTGAGCCTCGTACTCTCCTTTATTGGGTAAGCTGATGGAGATCCTTTTGAGCCTTTCACTAGAAGACTGTTTGTACAAAAGGCAAGGAGGACATTTGGTAGAATTTGGTTTGCAGTTTTGAATGGGGAAAATGATGACGAACCAAAGTGATGTTTAGGGTATCCTAGTTTTGGACAAACTAAATGGTCGCACAGTAGCTTTGATGATAAAAGCTGGGCGGTGCGAATGTTTGATGAGCGTCGGACATGAGAAACACTTGAAATACCTAAAAAGCATTGAACAACAGTGTACGTATTTGGAGGGTGACTTGAAGAGTTCCCAATTCCTTGGAATGGCTGAAAATATCTTCTATTTTCCCATTAGTGACCCACCATTTGGGGAATCTATTGGGAACATGTTTTACGTTTTCAAGATGTTTCAAGAAAATACCAGATTTTTTTTGATACATTCTGTGGTATATAAATATAATAGTTAATTTCTGACTGGCTGCGATTCCTGGGGTTCAGCCACAGGCTGCAGTCCGACTCCAACTTTCAAAATCCTCGTGAACACGTGATGATCATCTGTCTCTACAAACCTCAAGCGGCGTTGTTGGAAGATACGTTGCGGAAGTTCCTGGCGTATCGCTTGGATTCAGGAAGCATCAAGGTCTGGGCGTCATGACATTTTGATGACCGTCTTAGGAATTATGACTTGGTTTGGGTAGTTTCCCGGTGTAAAAATGGGGAATAAGCCAGCGACCTAGTCACCAGGCTGAGTTGTCACATTTGTGGGTTCTATTCTTGCCCACCTGACCACGCTGCCCGAGAGCTGGTTAAGAATTCGAAAGCTTGAGGCCCAGGGTCCCTCAAATTCGTATTTTTAAATGCAGGCAATTTTCTACCACAATAGGTCGAGGGTCCCTCAAATTCTTAGATCATTCTTAGTTGTGTATTGTATATATATATGTGTATATATATATTATATATATATATCTGCGAAATTTAGAGCGAGGTCAAACGAGATAACCAGGTGGAGTTAGCAGATTTAACAAGGGGCATGCGAAAAAACAATTTTTCAGAGCCTGAAAAATTGATTTTCTGCAAAACCCGATTTCATCCCATAAGGGGTCATTCCACACAAAGGGAACCTCAAAGGGGAATTACAACCTTTCAGTTCCCATCCACAAAACCCACAAGACTTCACGTATAAACTTTAAACAGTAATTTCGCAATCCTATCCCAGGGTACCTCAAATTATTAAAGTACTATGTGCTTGGTATAGCTGAAAATATGTAACCCGCATTGGATCCGAGCCCTCAATTTCTTTTACAGTGCATTCTTATACAACACTCAAACTGCATTTGCCAGTGACTAAGTTGGATGATCCTCCAGCTAGCAGCCCCACAAGTGGATGTTGATATTCTTGAAAATCATCGAACATCAGACCTCATTTTATGGCGATTTGCATGGTAAATCATGGCAAATCCCTATCAAAACGGTTGTAACATGGAGATGTTTCCAGACCATCTGTTGCCACAGGTGGTGACAGTGGATGCTTCGCAAGGTTCCGAGGCGCCGCATATCATCCTTTCCACCGTCAGGAGACACAATTTTTCGGGGCGACGTGTCCTCCGATTTTACCCCTCTTCCAGCATTTTCATGCCAGTTTCTGAGCACTTTTTCCAAGTCGTGAGCCCCGAGATGTTCAGCCCACTATCCCTCCGCTGAGTCTAACCTCGAAACCTATCGCTGGGGAGGGTCCGTGAGGCGAATTTTTGATGGATTTGCTGAGACACATCATGACACATCCCTCCATTTTTCCCACCATGTACAGAAGTTTTTGGTCAATTTCACCATCTCTGTACTGATGTCGACAATTTAAAACATTAGTACTATACTGTACGTTTATATAGTTATGATATATGGGTATATATATATATATATACATATACATATATATATATGGGTTATATATGGGTTATCTATGGGTTCTAGACCCACCATTTCCCTCTTGGTGCAGGAGCAATGACAGCGGTAGCATCGGTTTTGCCTCGAACCCACGCCGGCTCTGCGTGGGTCTCAGCCGCGCGCAGAAGTCGCTGACCGTCTTTGGCAATGCCACGACCTTCGAGCCACGTGGCAGGGGTGGGGCGGTGACAACCAGAATAATGTCAACCCTGGATTAATAAACCCCTGGGCTGTTTAATTGGGAGTCGGGAGGGTACTATTTAAGTATTAGATTATGACTATTGGAGGAGTACCCCCCTAATTAATAAACCATGGTTTATTAATGTGGGGTTGACATTAGTTGGTGAAATCTAACCCAACCAAGAACAATGGGGATTTAAGTGATTTGCACATCATATCTGATGATTTCATTAATCGTAAAATGGTGATCAAACGGGTGTTTCTCTGAATGACCACTTTGGTTGACTTTGGGGTAACCGATTGAAAGCGACACCCTAATAAAGACCAAGAACAGAATGCGACATAGACAATCACGGGAAGCATTGATTGATAGTTTACCATGACAAGTATGATTGATTGATTGAAATATCACATACAGTATACGATTTCATCAAGTATGACATGGCAATAGCTGGTCAATAGTTGGGAAATTGAGTAACCAAACAATTTGCGGATCTAACCATCAACCCACTTAGTAAGTCTTGAGTATCTAAGATTCTTAGCAACCACAATGGGATTTTCGACCAAGAATGAGCCAACAAAGATGAGGATATGTGCAAAGACCCGGCCACAGATGGATGAGTTCTTTTGGACTTTTTGAACCATTCCATTGTTGGGGTACCCAACTCCCAGCTATCGTTGGCGTTTTTTTTTGCCAACATGAAGATTCCAGAGTTAGATTCGCAAAAAATTGGAATTGCCCACACATATTAGCTGGTGGTTACAAAGAAGCTCTACTTTCCATCCCGGGACCCCAGTTGGAAAAGAGAAGCCACGATGATTGTTGGGACAGGATTTTTCATTCATCAGCAAATTGTTGGAAGCAAAAAATACTAGTCCCTTCCTTCCCTAAATCATTTGTGAAACCACCAGGCTTCATCCTGCAGTGCTGAGGCAAAACCGACCCCACTGGCAACAGGTGGGTGTTGCCGTTGGAGTCGTGCATTTGGACCCTAACCGCAGACAAACGTTGTGTAGTATCAAGATAAAAACATCCAAAAGATACACAAAAGATCCTTCTTTTTTCTACTAGTAAAATGGTATCCTCCATCTCTGGCTTGATTCTCTTTCTGTCCCATTCATTCCAGGAAACACCAAAAGTCTACCAGTCTCCCCACCCCTTTTCGTCTTAAGCAACAGCCAGGTGGTCGACTATTTCCGCCGGCAGCGCGTTTTGCAACGCAGCGCTCTGCCGATCCCGGCCGAAGTCCAGGACTTTGTCCGGACACGCGCGGCTGAGATGGTTGCAGCCAGGGCTCCACGAGACGACCGTCGTGAAGTCGGTGGTGTCCGTGGCGGGGCAGTCATGGTTTGGGCGGGTTCCGCTGTGTTTGTTGAACGTCAAAGTGGAGAAAAGGAAAACCACTGAGAATAGACATGAAGACTCCGTTTTTGGAGGGCCAGCATCCTTATTTTTGATACATGGGACCTTGCACTAAGAAATGAGTGATTTTCTTATCATGTACAGAAATGATGTCGGTGAAATCTATGTGGGAAGGCTCTTCCTTGCGGAGTTCCCAACATTCAGTCCTTCGTGTGTTAAGGACCGTTTATTGTATATCCGTCCAATACCATCACCTTTTTCTGGGGTACACGGTAACCACGTCAGCACCAATAAGACATGTTGTTGTGCATCAGGGTAGGGTGACCGGCACCCAAAAGCCACAGAGCCAAGGCATGGGCAAGGGCAAGGGCAAAGGTGGCGGCAGCAGCACTATTCGGTGCAGGTGCGGCTTTCTGCCCAAATGCGTGGGTAAGAATTTAAGCCCCCCAACCCACAGATGGACTGGCCATTCTAAGAGTATTTACCATCAAATTTTTGGGTGCCCCAACTGAGACATATATACGTAATATTGCATGGGAAACAATTCCCTGCAGAGAACATAGAAAACAATTATTTTAAAGCTCTGTGCCATTTTTCAGAAACAGTTTTTGGCCAGTATTTCCCAGGTATACTTATGACACTTGCCAGTTTTCTGCTTTTTTTACAGTTTCAGAGGTGTCAATTTCATCATGTGCCAAAAATTGTCCAGGAGTTTCGCGAACAGATGAATCAACGAATGAGTCCATTCGAAATTGGCGGTCTGATGCCATATATGTATACCAAATACAAGATCTATATACATACACACATTGATACCTATCCATTTTTTGTCCGTCTAGCTATCTGTTTGTCTATCCATTTGTCTAGCTAATGTAGCCTGAATCTAAAACTACTTCCATCCTATCCCAGCTGACTCTCATCCCATCCCATCCCATCGTGTCTGACAATCCCCAACTGACGAGCATATTTTTCCAATGGCTCAGCAACCAGATCGTATATCCATAGGATATCACAAACATATATCATATCCTCACTCTGAGTGGTTGGAACCCTCGCGATAGTTTGAATGGCCAGCCGTTGTGTCAGGTATTGGGTGCTTGGAAGCTGCCGTTATGGATTGTCCTGCACCTTTGCACACAATTGAGGCCGGCGGCCAGCCGAAGCGCTTCACTGTTTTCCAAGCGGCTGGCCGCATCTGCGGATGGTCAAAACTGGCTTTGCCGTGGAACATCTTTGGGTTTGTCTGAAAATTATGGGAAACAAAATCTAATTTCCATCATTGATCATCATTTTCCCAATTACAAATAGGCATTTGGGGGTACCCCATTTTCAGACACACCCAGGTGTATTTCTGGAGAATCTTTCTAACCAGCTAGTCATTTAGGCAAGCTAGCCTAGAACTGGACTATACTAAATCAGCATGATCAGGACATTTGTGGTTTCTTTGTTTTGGTGCTTCGAATTTTGACCACATAATGAAATTCATGGCTGGAATTGGCTCAGCATGTGCCTGCCTGTGGACGTGTTGATGGTTTGGCCGGTGAGGACATCCTGCTTCAAGATCTCATCCCATCCGATGAAAAAAAAGTGTTAAGCAGTTTCAACAGATGGGACCCCGAGGCATGACTAGATCCAATACTAGCTATACACAAGCAGGATCTCATTTGGGGTGTATTTCACTAAGGGGAAAGGGGTAAGTTAAAATGAGGCCCTGCTGTCATGTTGCAGAGTCCTAGGTAGCTGCCAAGGCCATCATTCTCCGCCTGGCAATGTGAAATCCTCATCTAACTGAAGGCTTTGTCCCAGAATCGGGTACCCCAACGTCCAATGGTTTTATTTCAAGGAACACCATCATTTATGGGACAGCTCATTTTTTTCCGGGATTTTCCATTGTCAGGGTCTGGATTTTGCCAGTCCCTTTTCTCCAATGATTTTTGCCACGCCTACGGCTTTGTCCCTGGTAGTTGCTCGGAATCTGACCTCAGCGACGATCCTCAGACAGCGGGTAGCCCCGCTTGTCTGTCATGTCCTGCGGGGTGAAGTTGGATCGATGCCGATGCGTCAGCGATGATGGAACGTTGCTGCGTGCAACTGAAAAATGGCTGCAGCACTGTGGACAGGGTGAAAGGGATGAGAAAATGGTCCCCAGATTTTTTTTTCCCCAACAGCAAAACTTTGCTATGGGGTCTTTAGCCCAGATTAGCTCCGGTGCGATCCGGTACAGCTTCAAGAGGGTTACGGTGCAGATACTTGGTTAGGTTCTAGCGGGTTTTGGTGCAGGTACCTGGTGAGGTTCCGGAGGGACTAGGTGAAGATGCGTGGTGAGGTTCCGGAGGGTTCCGGGGCAGATACCTCGTGAGGTTCCGGATGGCTTTGGCGGAGAAGATGCTTGGTGAGGTTCCGGAGGGTTCCAGTGCAGATACCTTGTGAGGTTCCGGAGGGTTCTGGTGCAGATGCTTTGTGAAATTCCAAAGGGTTCCGATGTTCTTTATGGCATAACAAGTTACAAACCGTGGGGAAGGTCCTGGACCATGACGATTTCTGCCGTGCAGCGTTGTTGCCATCAAAAACCATGAAGTGAAGTGAAGACGCCCCGAAACTGTTTTGGACAACGGTGCAGCTACCGCCATGGAGTTCTAAGTAGAGGAAACCCGGACACACCATGGAATGAGTAGGTTAGATGGGACGAACCCCCACCTTGGTGGAATTTCCAAACATTACCCATAGAGCTCAAAGTTCCTACCATCAAATGGTTATATATACTATATAAATGTAGTGTGTGTATATATATAGATATATAGATATAATATATATATATATAGATAGAGATATATATATATACATATATAGAGTTGGAGGGGTTTTCATTTTTTTCAGCTTTCCCCCAGTGCCACCGTGCATCGGCTGGCGTCGGGCATGTCGCTTGGTGCCTGATGCGACGGTTGTTTTTATGGGCGACGCTGTTGGCCACGGCTTGGGCGGCTGCAAAACAGGATTGGATCGCGTGGAAGGATGGTAAAAATCAAGGCGCGGTCAATGGATGCCTACAAAAATGCGGGGCTTCATTGTGGTTTCATGGTGATTTAGCCAAGACACATGGAAGTTTTGATGGTGACGTATCATCAAGGGCCAGAGATGTTTTCTTGGTCATCCCCAGATGGAAGTGGATTGAACATGCAGATCATTGAATAAATCATGTTTTCTTCTTGTGCGTGGGTTTGAAACAACACTTTAGAATTAATGTTGTATGATACAAAATACATATTTTCCGTTGCTGCCGCTGATTGGGTGTGGAATGTCAACCCCAGAGCAACAAACCATGGCTGATTAATATTGGAGGTTGAACATTGTAACATTATTGTCGGCTACCTGTGGTTATTGCCCATTCCAAAAACCACTCATTTTGCTTGGACATATCCCAAGAATAGCAGCATCAATCTCAGGTTTTCGTGGCACAAGCCAATCCATTTCCACTGATAAAACCGTATTTGGGTAACACAAAAAAATCCATTTCCATTCATTTTTGTGGCTCATGTGGGTCAAGTCCAAGTCAGAGCCTTCCACAAATTCGCCAAAAACGCCAGGCGATCCAAGTAGTGGCCGCTGGCATCGCATTCCGCGCTCCGAACGCTTCCAGAATTTCTCCTGGGAGGGCGAAGAAGGGAGACGAGCCGTGAACGGCCGCTCGGGCCGCAGAACTTATGGCTACCAAACAAGCATCAAACAGTGCAATTTAACCCTCAAACAGTGGGTAGTTTAGTCATGAAAGAGGGGGAATTTCATCATCAATTATAGGGTGATTTTAACCATCAAATAGGGGATAAACCACCTGTAAATCCCAAAGAAATCGTATTGATTGCAGTACTGGCTGGGAATTGCGGTGGGGTAACCAGCTCCCAGAAGCTTGTTTTTTAAATCCTGCGGAATGCCGGGATTTAGGTAGAAATCCTTGAACTTCAATTGGAACTTGATCCGTTGATGGTTGACCTAAGATTTTCATAGCCATTTTCAATCATTAACCATGGCTATGTCAGGTTGACCTAAGATTTCCATCCAGCCTGGAAGTTCTGGCGATTGAAGCGTCGAAACTTGGATTTGGGCCCAAAAAAACAGTGTGCGAAGTGGAAAATATTGGAAAATCACAAAGAAAAGAGGTACCCTCTGGTAAACGTTTACATAACTATGGAAAATCATCATTTTTAATGGGAAAATCCACTATTTCAATGGTCATTTTCAATAGCTATCTTGACATAACCAGAGGGTAAATCAACTATAAATGGGCCATGAAAAAAACCGAAACGTCAACGACGTCAAATTACTATAAAGTACCAAGATTTCTCTCAACACAAAATCGCGCAAAACCGCGCAGGCTATCGCTACTTCTTCAAAGGAGATCCGGCGGTTGGGATACGAAGCACAGTATGGGGACCGACAAAACCATGGGAATATGAACAAGAAATGATGGTTGGTAAGTTATTGGATTGGAACTCGTTTTTTTTTTATTGGGGAATGAAATAATCCAAATACTTCAAGGCACTGGACATTCTGGGAATGTCCATGGTGATCGGATTCAGAGTAGTGGCTTGGGTCGGTGTTTTGCATTTTCCTGCGCATTTTTTTTCGTGGGTTTTGAGAAATATGTCCTTGCCTCATAGTCTCTGACGGGATAGGGCTGTGGTACAAATCCTTTGGTGTGAGGTTGCATCAAACTGGGCCACCCATAGTCATAAGTTGGTTTACAAACCACTCACTTATAAACCAACTTAGCTAACTATGGCGCTCACAGAATTTCACTCAATTTCAACCAGGGTTTTACAGACAGAATGGCTCGAGGCTCGAGGATCTGGTTTTCTCAGTTCACATAGGGTAGCCCAAAACCCCGAAATCCATCGAAATCCTATGGTCTCCACAATGGGCCTCCAGATGCCTCGCACTACACCATTGGGAATGAGTTGGGGGAGCGTTTCTTGGTTTTTGGCTGTGCAGGTGGGTCAAAATGGGTTGTCTCAAGGAATTATGGGACAGACAACGAGGGCTTTTTGGATACCTTTTTTGGGACAAAGCTGTATTCTGCAGGTTGGGTTACATTTTTTTTCATCATCCGGAGTCGCAAAATCCCTCTCTAAACTCTAAAGTGAAACTTCATCACCTGCGAATGAGAACAAAGTATAAGTCATGTTGAGGGTCTGACAAAAGTTGAAACCCTCTGTGCACCTTCTCGAATCTCAAGCATTCCATTGCGTTTCACGAAGCTTTCAAAATCGGATGGGTAACACTAGAACTGGATCAGATTTTGAGGGTAAACCCTTTGGCCTCCTCAAGTTGTAAGACACCCGCAGAAGTTTCGCCCTCGGATAGCTGAATTTGGATAGGCTAACCAGCAACTGGCAGGATGTGGAGGATACTAGAAGGATCATCCCAGTGAGTGGTTCATAACTGGGGTAACCACTTATGGGATAAACCTAATGTCAACCCTGGATTAATAAACCCCTAGGCCCTAGGCTGTTTAATTGGGAGGCTACCATTTATGTACCATCTAAAGTGACTATATGGTACCGGGTACCCCCGTAATTAATAAACCATGGTTTAGCAAAATCCGGGGTTGGGATAAACCGGGGACTTACTAGCCGGGCTTCTCAACCACTGGTATCACCAAGAGAAGGGCTCCTGAAGAGAGAAGTTGGTCTGATGAAGCCAGCGGATATGTCCATAAGGCCCACAGCTTTACAGCTAGTGACAAAGCAACTGACCTATCACAAATCACAGGATAAATATCTATAAATCAATAAATCAATAACTGACTATAAATCAATAAATCATAAATCACAACTGTCTATAAATCAATAAATCCCAATCAGTCTTCGCCAAAATGACCATTTTCAGTCCTGATGTGGGGGCATTCTTGCTGTAGAAACCACTTCTGGCTTCTCGCACGCTGGAGTCACATAGATCGACGCGACTGAGGGATCGAAGTCTGGCAGCCCTTCGCAGAAGATTTTCCCGACAGCTTCTGGGATCTGGTTAAAGATGGCAGATTTCATGAAGGATTTTGGAGTACCCTCTGGTAAACTAACATAGCTATGGAAAATCACCATGTTTAACGGGAAAATCCACTTATTAAATGGGCCATTTTCAATAGCTTTTTGTATGTTTACCAGAGGGTAAACCTTGGTTAAAGATGGGTGCCCTCCGGTGTCGGGGAATCCTTATAAATGAGCCTTTGAATGGGATCTATAAATAGGGTATTTCCCACCGTGTTTGAGTACCCGAGGGTAAAGGTTCGAACTTCGGGTGGTTTGACCAGCATTTGTTCTTGGATCGAATCTCAAAGGTGGCCTAGACATACGGGTTTTAGGTAGCAAATCAGTGGGTTACCCTCCTGTAAACTAAGATAGATGTGAAGGTTACCCCATTTGCAGATCATTTTCCGAACGCGGGAACCCCCCAGAGGGGTATTCCACCTCTTCTTATATATTTACCCAGGGTCATTACAATAAAACAGGGGCTGTGGTTTTTCACGATTGAACCGACAAAGATGATTGCGGCAACTGGTTGGTCTTAATGGATCTCCAACTATTTTGATAGAGGAATCTGGTCTCCACCAAAGGTCAGAGTGTTTTGGAGTCTTTGTTCTTGTTAGTGACTGTTGACGTGTTTTTCTTCGCAATTTTGGAAGTCTTGCCCTGAAATGGCCCTGAAATATTTTTCGGGTTGATGCTTCTAGCGATTCAACCGCAAATTTGAGAGAATATGGCCTATCACCATCTTGCAGATCTTGCAATCGAGAAATCATATTTTTTTGTAATGTAGTAATGTGTCAATTTTGTATGCAGAAACCCACCACAACATCCTTGCAGTCCCGTAGATGGCGCCAGTTGCGGGTTGACTTCTGGTGGAACGCGAGGTGCGGTATGTGCCAACATCCGTGGTGCGTTGTTCAACCTCTACCAGCACAATCTGAGTCAGGTGCATCTCACAGTTCGGAGCCTTGGTTGATGAACCATCATTTTGTTCCCCACATTTTTTTGTTAGATAAAGCTCAAAGAAACAGCTGGAGACATCATAGTTTTCTTTTTTTTGTAGATTCTGAATCCATCATCATGGTTTTCTGAATCTTTTGTTAGATGATCAACCAGCAACATATGACATTTCCCATAGATTTCTGCCGTGCGCCAGGAACTCTGGCTGGTTCAACGTGTCGAAAGAGCCCATCTGTCAGGAGGGAGCGCCCTGTCCGAACCTCATCCTCTTGGGATCCTCACAGCTGGCAGAACGCGTCACTTGGAGAGGATCCAATGGATGGTGCTTGGGGCAGGAATTAGCAGGTTGGTTGTTTGGGAAGTTGGGGGCCTGTTGTTGAATCGGAAGTCATTTTATAAGCCATAAAGAAACGTAACTGGGGTATGATATGGTTATGACCTACTTACTGGGATGAACTCTCAAGTAGCCAATTGGTAGTAATCCCTTCCCCTTAGTATTAAATACACCCCAACGAAAGGCGGGTTTTGTATTGAATCTAATCATTTTGGCCCCCCAGTTGGGGGCATTTGATATCTATAGTTGGCATTTGGGTTTGTCTGAAAATGGATATACTCCCCATTTGTAGCAATTTTGAGGGGGAACGTTATGATAGACACCCTCAAACAAGAGGAAGCAGCTCCATTTTCAGACAAACCCATGTGGTTAAACGCCATGATACGATTCTTGTGTCAATTTGGGATGTTAGTTTACTTAATGTTGGCATAGTGTATCCCATGTATCAAGTGGATGTTCACTTCACTTATGTTATATGTACACGGCTGGTTTATTATCCAATTTGAAAGTAGGATGCCATTCCAAGTAAGGACATTGAGAATGCAACCTAGTGTGTGAAACCAGGTGTTTTCTTTTTGGTGTTTGCCATTCTTGGACGCTCCTGGTTGAAACCATGGTGAAAGAAAGGTATATTTTCGTAGGTTTAGGACATCACAGATTCCTGGAGCAATCTATTTAAAATGGCAATTGGACAATCCTGAATTTGGATGTTATCCATATATATATATTATATCCATATGTGTTTTCCCATTGCTGTATTGCATTTCCAGACACTTCTGGACAATCTACCCTCTGGTTATTTAACATAGCCATGGTATAGATGGCCCTAATCGAAATAGATGGTTTACCGTTCTTAAAAATGGGTGGATCTTTCCATGGCTATGTCTGTTAGTCATAACCAGATGGTACATATAATTGGGACCCAGGAGGTGGAGACTGAGTTATAGCAGGCTGCCTGCAATGAGTTTTTTGGATGATCCTGTGTTCAATGGCCTATGTAAGGGCTAAATTTCAGGGAATATCCCCACAAAATATGGCCAAAAAAATGGTACTAACGTACCTCCAATTTAGGATCCTGGAATTCCCATTGATGTGTGGTCTGATAAGACAGTGAGGTAGTGGCGCATCGTGTCAGGGTGTTGAATCACTTCATGGATCTCTACCTGCAACAGAAATTGGCACGTCTGCAAGACGATGCCTGGCACTATTGGCGGGGTTTATGGTTGGTTTGGAGGGAGCAAAAGTTCGGGCCACTTTTTTATATGTGGATGTTTTAAAACCCATCATTTTCAACATTTTTGTGGATGAACATTCATAGTTCCCAGCTACTTTGGTGTGAACAGATGGGTATCGGGGTTTTGACTTGTGGCTATATGAATAACATCCATTGTGATAATATAGATGATATCCCAGAAATATAAACTTTTCCCCGGAAAGGGTTGCCATGATTGGGGTCTGCAACAACCTATCCAAACAGGGTAGCTTTGCACAGGTCCCCCAAAGCGGCGCCGTTTTGATTAATCTGGTCAATCACTTGAGGGGTCACTTGACATGTGCGATTTTACACCTGGTATGGCCAGAAGTTTTCTTCTGGAGCGACCGAGGATTTTCCCAGTGTGGCTTACTATCAGTACTTCTTCCATGCGCATTGGATGGGCATCCCGTTTCTGCCTCTTGGTGGAAGGGGTCAGGGGGTTGGATTCTGTTGGGACAGACATGTCTAAAATATCCATCTTTCGTCTTTCCATGGCACCCCAAATTGGGTCTTTGTGGTGATTTTATCCCCAACTTTGGCGATTTTTTTCCCACCTTTTTGGTTCAAGTTGCATCATCCATATTTTGTTGCCAGACCATCACTGACTGGACAATGTCAAACCTGGACGAAAAAAACGCTGGTAATTGGATTATCAACCCAAGATCATCCAGGGTTTTTGGGGATTATAAACCATGTTTTTTTGATCAACCAGGGTTGATAATGGCCTAAACACAAAATCATTCGCTAGTGAAATTGGCAATTGGCCTATCCCCAAGTAGACCACCCACAGATGAAATTCTTCTGACAGTATTGGTGAACGACGTGTGATTGCTGTTACTTCACCTGTTTGATCGCCATTCTTGGTTAGACCATCCAATTTTTGAGTCAAACTTAATCTTCACCCATATTTTCCACCCAAATAGTCTTGATCTATCCCTCATTCTCGTGGCATAAAGCTGTCCTAAACCTCAATGGCTACGTTGCGAGGGTCGTCCTTGCGAGGGTCCTTAGGGCCCCAGGTCGGCGCCAGGTCGATCGAGGTTTCCACCGCGCTTCCGAGGTCAGATGTGCGGCTCCTGGCCTTCAACAAGACCACTCTGTGGCTCGGGTGGATCCAATGAATCCAGCTGGTTTAGGTCATTGACGAAGATCTAAGATCATGAGTAATATCTAATATCTAAGAACATTAGTAATATCTAATATCTAATATCTAGATCTAAGATCATGAGTAATATCTACCCTCTGGTTATGACTAACAGACATAGCCATGGAAAGATCCACCCATTTATAATAGGTAAACCACCTATGAATGGGCCATCTATACCATGGCTATGTTAAATAACCAGAGGGTAATATCTAAGATCATTAGTTTTTTTTGTTTTTAAATTTAGATATAGTAAAATTCTTGTGTTTTTTCTCTATTTTGGTCTGATTGATATAGATATTACGAATATCTATGAGTATCTAATATCATTAGGTATAGTTTGATTGGGATAATTATGAATTTTGGTCTGATTTAGATATAATATCATTGGGATTTACTAATATCATAGTTAGATGATTTACTGTACTCGTATTCTGATATATTTCTAGTTTACCAATATTCTGGTGTAGGTACACACAGACGGCGAGGTTTGCCCAAGGCCGACATACCAGTCACACTACATTATCAGACATGTTCTAGACGTGGAACAATGCAACAATGCCATGGCCAGTAGGTTTCACATCGGGGTTAGGGTTGACCATGTTCATCACTGCTCATTATCATCACCATCATCATTGGCATTGTCCAGACAATCATCCAGAGCCCCGGCAAACCTCAAGGTCTTTCTGTAATAGTAGTAGGTCTGGTTTAGTAATGAGTCTTCTTGTGATTTCATTCGATTTCCTACTATAGGAGAATAATTGTCATATCATATCTGTTTGGATATTAGGATCAGTCGGATATATACTTAGATTCAGAGGTAGATTTACTACTAGGATGTACTAGTAGAATGCAATCATTTACTGTAATCTTAGGGGGAAGGGATTAGAACACCATATCCAGTCGTACTGGGTACCATTTGGAGGTCTTATATGAAATTTAAATCCATCGAACAGGTGGGTTTATGAGTGGGTTTAACACATAGATTCATAGATTTGCTGGTTACGATCCATTGTTTGCTGTATAGTTGGGTGAACTTATTGTAAAGTCAAACATCCGTCAAACATCCCTCTTATTATGGCTATGATTGCATGAAAAACGGGCTGCCAAGATTTTACAGCACGTTCTCCTTGGTCATTGATCCAAGCCAGAAGCCTCCGTCGGTGGTTCGCGACATTTTGTGATGTGAAGTCCGCATTTCCGCCGATGATATCGTAACTGTTATTCCTAATCTTATACCATGTCGTCAAATCCGTGTCAATGCTATCTCCAAAAACTGTTCAAGTAATTGTTATCAATCCTACCACATCATCCCAAGTCCCCGTAGCATCTTCGGCCATAGTACGTAGCCCAGCCTAAGGACCGGGCTCAACATCTCATTGCCGCCACCACATTCCTTGGAGGTGCCTCTGGGGCAGGATGTAGCTTCTGGATCTGCCTTCCAGCATACTATAGCTAGACCATAGTCCGGTTATAGGTCAAATATCCCCACTTAATCAGACTTAATCAGACTTCATCAGACTTAATTCTTCCAGTTTTTGTTTTTGGAGTGGGTTAACAAACTTAATAGCCACCGAGTTTTCTGGCCAGAGCGCAGAGGCTTGTATTGATTCAGTTGCAGCTGCTCAAGCACTCAACGCAGCCACGGCAGCCTCAGCAGCCACGGCCGGGTGGGCAACATGTCGACTGATTTGCACGCGCTGACGCTGATAGAACTCCTGGAAGAGATTCACGGCAGCCACGGCCGGGTGGGCAACATGTCGACTGATTTGCACGCGCTGACGCTGATAGAACTCCTGGAAGAGATTCACGGCATCCACGGCCGGGTGGGCAACATGTCGACTGATTGGCACGTGCTGATGGAACACCTGGAAGAGATTCAGAGTCTGTGCTATGTCACCCGACCTTCCATGGCCTCACGTGCCCACCAAATCTTTTTGATTGCCGGAGCAGTGGGTTATCCCCTCAAAGTTAGGCCCCAAGAAGACGATCCGCCCGTGTTTGAGCGACTTGGTGATTTTTTTCCATATGTCCATACATTGGCACAAGAGGCCAAACAGTCCATCAGCTCGGGTGATGCTCAGCAGCGTCATGTCTTGGTTGCGAAGGCTGTAATGAAGATCCGTAGTGCCATGAGAAAATTGAAGACTTTGTGTGAAGATCATCCTACGATCGAATCACTGTCAGACACAACGGCCTCCAACGAAATGAACTTTTCCATGAAGATTGTGATCAAACTTTTTTTGCCATCTCTAGAAGTGATGGAAAAGAGGGCCGATTTCAACCACGTACCCGAGTTCCTCCATTTGCATGACCTTGGCATAGAGTTGTTGAGGGAAAATCACTTGAAGGCGCGCGAATTTAGTCTTGAGCTTGACAACAAAGTCATGGAGAATCAGAACACAAGGCAGATCTTCTTGAAAGCACTTCATGCGGATGGATCAAGGACCGCCTGTATCTTTCAGAAGCTTCAAGCTGCAGATGTTCCAGAATTTCCAAGTGCACCTGGTCAGCCAAGTTGCCCTGAGAAGCTTCTGGTGTGCATTGATGGCAACATTGGTTCCAGGAAGTCCGAACTGATGCAAAAGCTCCTGGACATCAATGCGCAGAGAGCGCAGCAAAAAGTCACAGTGGTGAGAGAGCCCCTGAACCAGCTGTCTGCAAAGATGATCGACTTCTACCGCGCTTTAGATGCTGGGACGGACGTGACTGAAGAACAAAGGGACCAGAGCTCTCGCTTTGAGGAAGACATGTTTGACCACCACTTCAATGTCGCCACGAACACTGAAATAAGAACAAGGCATGTGATTGCCGAGAGATCGATGGAGGCAAAGATACACGTTTTCAATGAACTGAATTTTCTGCAAGGGAGGCTGTCGGAGAAGTCGCGGGACGACATGAGACGCCAATTTGAAGAGGAGGTCCTTGGAAACCCACGGTGCCAGCCCCATGCCATCATTTTTTGTGACATTTCTGTGAAGCAAGCCATGGAGAGAATTAAGAGACGTGGCCGTGGAGGAGAAGACAAGATCACCCTCCGCAGTATTTGGAAGACATTCAGCAGAAGTATGCGGAGTTGTAGCCTCCGCTCCAAACGTGGTGAGGGTTGAATCGGATCATCCCATGGAAGATTTCATGCAGTTTTTCTCAGATGTGCGTGATGAACCAAATTGAGCAGCTGACTTGATGGTGCCGAAAGGAAATTGAGCTAGGTTTACAATTATGCGTAGTCCGGAACATGACTCGTCTTGGCATGGTCCCGTATTGTATAATATCGTGTCCGGCGTCAGCCCAAGAATGCTTGATATTTAAAAACTCGCCGGGTCTCACGTTTCGAGTTTTGGGATTCTTCACATCACCTCTGTCATGGTGACCGGAGAACTATGAATCCCAATGGTTCAGCCAATTATCAAACTGGACATATCACCACTCCTGTCCACGACCCTCCTCTGTGTTGGTCTCCAGTCGTTCTTTTTTGGGTTGGAATTGAATTGCAAATAGCATCCAACTGTAGAGGCAACAACATGTCTTTGCTTGGAGACCGACCTCCATTGTCTTCCTGGGTCGTTGGTATCACTAGATTCACTGGTCAATCATCGATTTCCCTCGTAAAAATGCTACTTGGAAGTATCCGTCTACCTCATTCCACAGGATTTCCTGTCCAAAACTTTTGGATCCACCAGTGGTCCCATATGATGTATCCGAGCTGGGTATGGGTCAACCGCTGGAACTGGCACATTCACTAGTGTCATTTTGGCCTATTTATACACTTCTCCAGGTCTTTGGTAACCAGTCCTGACCCGTAACCATTTAAGTTTCGAAGCAAAGATCTTCGATTGCTTTCTGACTGGCCAGAGTTGCGAACAAAAAAAATGTGCCAGCTTTGAAGGATGATTTCAAACCCCCTTTCCACCCTTAGTGGATTGAGGGATTGGTTTCTGGATGAACATATTGGGTAATCATCCCCCAATAAAGGGTGAATGGCTCACGAACTATGAGCTACCCCGTCCTAGCATGACCCTCCCGTTTTTAGTGGGTCAAACTTACTTCAACTTAGCCCATTTTTTTCGTTAGCTCTATGAATTTCCTATATTTTTCACAGTCATTTCTACGGTACCCACAACAACTCACCCAACCATTCCTCGATACACATGAATAGTGTTCAAAACCCGCTGGCATCCGAAAAACAAAAATGCTTGGTCAAGAACGGGATTCCCAGCTCATGGATTGTGATCATTTCATGATCCCCAGTATGTATGTACACATATTTATTAATATACAATTACATATATAATTATATATTTATATATATATATACAAAATTACATATATATATAATTACATACATATATATATACACAGATAAATACGTATACATATCTATATATATATATATATATTACATATATATATTTATAATGTATGTATATGCATATTTTGGTGAGTTCTCCGCGCCAACCATCAACCTACACCGGGCCATCTCCGTTCACGGCCGGAGGAGAGTTGGAGTTGGCAAGATCTGAAGAAAAACGCCTGTCGGATCAAAGAGGTCACGGGAAATCCAGGTGCTGCTGGGGCCTGGTGCTGCTGGGGCCTGGTTTTGGGAGGGAACTGTAGAGACCTCTGCAACAAAGGTGGTCTCCAATGGAAAAAAACCTCTGAACATATGGACAAAACGATGTGGTGGTGAGCTTCCAGGGGGCGAAACGCACCAAAAACGGCCAAACACGGATAAAAGAATGGGATACCGGGATACCAACCAACATTGCGGTGAAAACATGGGACAAACAAAATGCCGATACCTCTCATCAACACCCAAAATTCTTGTGGATCCAAATGGACAATGGTTTTTAATCCATAGCCAACTGGGTTTCTCAGTTTGGAGCCGGTTTTGCTGATTTTTGTTTGTTGGTCTAAAAAATCCAATTTTGGAACATCATTCCACAGAATTTGGGGTTTTCATGGCCTGAGTTCAAACACACCAATGGGGGCTTTCCTAGTTGATTTTGCTGAGCAGATCGGACTTCATGCGCTGGAAACGACATGAGCAAGACTGTTAATTATTGTGGGTCTCATATTTTACAACCGACCATGGTCAGCTTTACTTCTCCGGGTGCCCATTTGACCAGGTCTGCTGGCCAATTCGGATTTCGACGAGGATTTCAAGTTCTTCACGCGCCTCAGAAATAGATTTTATGTTGGAACATAAATTCGAGTTGGACTTTGAAACTAGTTGAAACATCAATTTTTTTTGATGATGTTTCAAATTAGGTGCAATTTCAAGATGTCTGCATTTGGGGATCCAACATTTAGCGTCCCCATTTTTTCGAGCTTCCCAAATGCGACCATCTTTATGAAGTTGCCAAGTCATACCGGATCCAGGTGCAACTTCGGTGGATTTTTTTTTGGCATCTTGACATCTTGACATTTGTTTGTTTTTCTGAATCAAAAGATGTCATGGGGTTGATCCAGATTTTTAATATGCATCTTGTATTTCTTTAGATGTAGATTTTGTTTGGTTTAATTTTTTGCATGCGCACCAGTCTTGCGCGTTTCAATTCAAACTAGTTTTCAGTGATGGATTTCTGGAGCTCTGCGCAAGATCTCAATCCCCTTCTACCTGTGGTTTCCAATATCGACCAGCATAAAACTTACTATAAATGGGAAAACTCACTATAAATGGCCATTTTCAATAGCTTTTTGTATGTTTACCAGAGGGATTCCTGTAGTGGTTTCCAATATCGACCAGCAAACCTGTATCTACTGTAATTGCTACGTTTCGAAGGCTAAATGACAGGACCATCGGTGTCAACATCTTCTGCAATCTAGCTATACGATTTCATTCTCGTGTCACATATGTGCCATGGTCAAAAAATGGGATGAATGTGGTATGTATATTGGAATCCATAGAATGGGTACAATTTCCTATGAATGGATTGATGACTAGCCCCTAATCTGAGTTCATCTGATCCAGCTTTTGACCCTGTCATGTATAGATTTAGAGAGAGATTCAAGTGGGATAAAACCGGCATATGGTATACCCTCTGGTAAACTAACATAACTATGGAAAATCACCATGTTTAATGGGAAAACTCACTATTTCAATGGCCATTTTCAATAGCTTTTTGAAAGTTTACCAGGCCGGGTATGTGTGTTGAATGCTCTCTTTCAGAGCTTGGATTAGCATGATCCATTGGGAGTTGATATCTGCCACACTATCCCATATGACATGGTCAAAAGTTGGATCAGATTCACTCATCTGTATATATATATCTCTCTCTCTCTCAATCTATATCTATATCTAATATCTAATATCTAATATCTAACACCTAACATCTAATATCTAATATCTAATATCTAATATACATATATATATATATCTCTACATATCTCTATATATCTATATCTATATCTATATCTATATATACACATACATATGAGCATTATTTTATTTGCCAGTTGATTCTCTAGTTTTGCGTTTTTTTGTCACCGTATTTGTTGGTTAGGTCACCATTTTGGCTGGTGAAATCCAACCAACTTCTGTTCCTTCGGCCTAGGCTGATGGTTCAGTCGGCTCATGGGTCCCTGTACAAGGTCTCTAGCGAAGGCGGACATGGGTCGCTGCCAAGAATATTATCCCATGGATGGTGGGTAGCAAAAACGCACAGCCATGGCCATGGCTATTTGTGAAATAACTGGTTATTTTTAAAATGGGACTATAGATTCCATTATTATTGGGTTATAAGATGTTATAAGTACTTGAAATACTGGTATTTCGGTGCATAATTGTGGGGTTCCACTGACACCTGTTCCAAGTGGGATTTACTGCGGTGTTTTGCTCCTGAAGTCGATTTATTATAAGCCCAGTGAAATAAGTGGAACTACTTTTAGATTCCACTTACAAACAAGGTGATGAACCACTTACAATTCGTGGGATGGCCCATGGGGTTTTCTGAACTTTTTCGGAACTTCGGAGATCCGTGTGATTTGGGCCTGGGGGATGTGGAGATTGGCTGTGCGGATGTATCCGACCCTTGTGGCCTGATGTGGAGAAGAATTGTCCAATTTCTACTTGGTGGCTCACCTGGAGTAGGCTATATCCCTTGTTTTCTTAGCGTGATAAGTAGATATAAGTGGGGTTAGTCGATTTATAATCAGGATCAACCGACGGACTTGTGATTCTTGGGATCGACCCGATTGCGCTACACTTCTGGCCTTAGGGATCTTCCAAAGGCGTCATCGTCATGCAGTGTTTGATTTACTGTTGGGCAGATTGTTCAGAAAGATGAGATCCAATGGGAACTCAGCCAAGACAACGTGTAAAAATAGCATATCCAGCTAAAAAAGATGCTGCAAAGCCATAAACAAGGAGGCGGATCCTAACAAAAAAGCGGCAGGATCCCCCAAGTATATAGTAACAATCCATAAGAGTCCCATGAAACTACCATTTGGACAATTTTTGGTGGTTAAAATCCCATTAAATCCATAATTTGTGAATGTTTTGATGTTTAAGAACTACAATCCCATTATGATCCTATTCTATATCCATTGGAATCCTATGAAAAATATCTGTCTTTCTCCATCAACTCCCATTAAACTACCCTCTGGTAATTTAACATAGCTATGGAACATCACCATTTTCCATGGGTAAATCCACTATTTCTGTGGTCATTTTCAAGTTCGCAAACTGTTTGATTACCAGGCCGGGTATATATGAATTTATAATATGGAGTGATGTACCCTCTGGTAATTTAACATAGCTATGGAAAATCACCATTTATAGTGGAGTAACCTATTAAAAATGGTGATTTTCAATAGCTATGTTAACGTTTACCAGAGGGTACATCATAGTAATCATAATCCTCAAGCATAAATCCCATAAAGTCTCCGGTTCTCCATTGAATTCCCAATGAAAATCCTGCCATGTCGGAGCCGTAACGGTAACAGGTCCAGGGGAGCTGTACTGCGGTTTGAACTGCTCAATGGCCGTGGATGTCTTGGAAAACTGGTGGACTGAGGGGCCCCAGTTTCGGTTTTTTTGTCCAACATGGGGGCTGTGAGTTTGTTGATGGGATATGCGGCAATGACATAGATCTCTATATATATATATACACGTGTAACATATACATAGTACATGCAGAATTAATATATACACAGATAATGTATACATAATATGTATACATAACATGTATACATAAGACGTATACATACATATGCCTGTAACATGACTATACTAGGTGACTGTACACATATGAGTATATGGACCTGATTATATACTCATGTACATATGTATATATAATCAAAAATCATATATGCATATTATGAATACACTCATAGATAGATGGATAGATAGATAAGATAAGATAAGATAAGATAACATAAGATAAGATAAGATAAGGTAAGATAAGATAAGAAAGATAAGATAAGATAACATAAGATAAGATAAGGTAAGATAAGATAAGAAAGATAGATAAGATAACATAAGATAAGATAAGATAAGGTAAGATAAGATAAGAAAGATAGATAAGATAACATAAGATAAGATAAGGTAAGATTAGATAAGAAAGAAAGATAAGATAAGATTAGATTAGATTAGATAAGATTAGATAAGATTAAATTAGATAAGATAAGATAAGATTAGATTAGATTAGATAAGATAAGATTAGATAAGATTGAATTAGATAAGATAAGATAAGATAAGATTAGATAAGATTAGATAAGATAGATAGATAGATAGATAGATAGATGTCGACAATTGTCCACTCCTTATGACTTGGATGCCCTTCCAAGTGCCCGTTTTTAGCGGCATGGTGTCGTTGGTGTTTTTTTTGGTTCGATCAGTTTTTTGGTTGATTTTTACTGTGATTTCACCAGCCAATGAATGGTTTTTTCACCATTAAATAAGGATTTAACATGATTTAACTATAGTAAACGATGGCCTGAAACGTGTCTGAAAATGGCTGCACTCCTCGAAGAATTGCAAGTTAGGGAAGAACCAATGGGTTTATAATAGTTTTTTTCCCATAAATTTCAGACACAGCCGTTTGGTTCTTGAGCACCCCCACTGGGCCACGACTCAAAAAGGGCTCTGGGGTCAATGTTTCACTTATTTTCCTCGCAATTAGCAGAGACTTTTGGGTCAGATTTGGAGGTTTCCGAAAATGGGGGTTAACCCACATCATCTAATAGGGTTTTCCATTATAAACCCTATTTCAGGAAACCTCCATGTAGTAAACCAAGCCAAATCCACTTTTTTCCGCCACGCAATGACCAAAGCTTCTTGACCAAACCATGACCTTGGCTCGCGTCGCAGGACTCCTATGATCCAGGATCGCTGCATGGCGGGACACAATGGCAGAGGCTACTGGAAAAACATGGCACCCGGCGTCTCGATAAGAGATATCTGGATTTGGAGCAAAGAGATGGGGAAGCTGAGCGGTTCGGTTGTAAAATGGGAAGCCGAGGACTTACAATCAGAGTTAGTCCCCCAAAAATGGCAATTGGAGGAGTTTCAGTCAACGTTTCCCAAGCGCATTTTGTTGTTTTGGTTTTCAGAGGTTGCGATGCTGGCTTTCAAAATGGTTCAGATTGGGAATCTGAAGCAGCAAAACCTGTGAACATTGGGCTGGTACAGGCGCGTCACTACCAAAGATTGGGTCCTTTTTGTCAGCCCATGAAGAGGCTATCACTTGAAGGGGATTGTTTCTTTTTTGGATGGAAGAAGAAGTACTTTACATAGCCAACTAAAATAAGTAAAGTCTGGAAGTGCATGACGTCTCAAAGTCTCAAAGAAAAAGTACAGGATGGGCTCCCCCAGCTATAAGTTGGTTTATAAACCATCATAACCCCATTAACTATAGTTATATCTACCATAAACCATAGAATTCAGCCACTTTTTTTAAACGTTTCTGAACGCTATCGCTCAACTGGGGGCCCCATCCTGGAGTTTTTCAAACCCCTCGAAGCGTTTTTTGGATTTCACCGATGTCAGGTCCTGGGTTTAGGCTGTTCCGTGAACGAAAGATCTAATGGTGATTTAATGGTGATTTAATGGTGATTTAATGGTGATTTAATGGTTAATAACTGGTTAATAACTGGTTAATAATGGTTAATAATCTATAATAGGGATATTAATGGTGATTTAATGGTGATTAACCCTCTGGTAATGGAATATTAATATATAACTGATTGGTGGTTTGGAGCATGAATTTTACTTTTCCATATATTGGGAATAGTAACCCCAACCGACGAACTCATATTTTTCAGAGGGGTTGAAAGCACCAACCAGATGTGGTAAACCCAAGAATAAACTTACCATTTGGGGATGATAGTTACTACTCACGAATGATTTTCATGGTGGTCTTGGGGATGGTTTATGACATTGGGTTTACCACATTAAAATTATGCCCTCTGGTAATTGAACATAGCCATGGCAAATCAGTATCGTTACTAGATACATCATCTATGAATTGGCAATTTTCCATCGCTATGTTAAATTGCCAAGGGTAATATGTATTTAAATGCTAGTTATGTAGGATATGACTTATACTTAGCTAATATATTATCCTCAAACTATAGCACTCACTCCATGACACTCTCCATTTCGTCATGATCGGCTCGCTGGACACAGACGAGCATGAGTGGCTTATCCCAATCAGGAATAGCTACCCTCTGGTTGTCAAAATAGCTGTTGAAAATGACCATGTATAGTGGATTTACCCATAAAAAATGGTGATTTTCCATAGTTATGTTAGTTTACCAGAGGGTAAAAGTACTACACTGCTGGGTGGTTTCAATCATTTTTTCTTTTCCATCTAAGAATCGATGATTAAGACGAGCATGTCATCTTTGGGATGGGGCCCAGCCCAACCAGAAACTGGGGGCCTATCCCAGTATCCCCAGTATGCCCATCAAGGAAAGCCCAGTATCCCCAGAGATGCCACAGTTATCCACACGAAAATAGTCGATCACAGTTACACATCCATTCACCTGGATAATTTATTGGGCCGCAAGGCCGATCATACTAGGCGCGACCTCACAAAAACCTCACCCAAAAAATGATGATTAGCAGGGATACTTCTGTCCAGATTTGGGATCCCTTGACTTTTCCCAGGGATACATGGTTATATATATATGTATATATGTATATATGTATATATGTATATGCATACATATACATATATATATATACAATATATCATATCATATCATATCATATCATATAGCATATCATATCTTATTTTGTTATATCATATTACATTAGTTGTATCATACTATATAGTATCATAATTATATCGTACTATATCATTTTTTTACACACATATAACATATAATATGATAATTTCATATCATATCATTATAAAAGATCATATTATCTTATATATATATATTTATATTAAATATCATGCACACACACACACGTGTAATAATATTTGTAATAGTAGTCATACATGCACTACGTATGTTTGCATGTACATGTATACACACAATATAGCCATACATGATACATACATAAGTTGACAATTTGAACATGTGCATTCAAGAGTTGTCCCCATGATTTCACACCTTATGTCACGTTGTGTGTTGATTTAACTGAAAACTGGAGGCTCATGCTCGGACCACTTTTTAACGTTCAGATGTCGATTCGCGTGGCAGGTGCGAGGGATTGTGCACCTTGTCAAAAGTGAGCAAGACGTGAGGGTTTTGTAGCATTTCCAAAAACGATGGCAGGCGTGGTACATTTGAAGAGAGGATCTGCAAAGATGCATTTTCCGCGGCAGGCGCAGTACAAGAGACATCCTCATCAGAGCTGTTCGGAGGTCCGGGCGCTGATTTCCTGAGAGGGGTTGCATTTTGGAGCATCAGATCTTCAGGTTTGCTGAGATGATTTTGCGTGACAGGTGCAGCACTTCGACCTGGCATCACTTTTTCGTGGCAGGCGCAGTACTTTCGACAGGTGGAGTGGAAAAATAGCAAAACGCATTGGCACGAGGCCGTCAGCTCTGCACTCAACTTTCCATTTTTGAAGGACGTCTCGCAGAATAGCTTCGTTTTCAAGCTTGCAGATAGACAGATAGACTAGAACTACACTACATTACACAACACTACACTACACTAATTACATTACATTACGTTACACTACAACTGCAACTACCACTACATGGCACTACATGACACTACACTACAGCTACAACTACACTAGTTTACAGTACAGTGCACTAGACCACACTACAGTATAGCATGCTACAGTACACAACGCTACAGTACACTACACTAATTACACCACACCACAGCTACAACTGCATCTGCAACTACACTACACTAATTACACTACATTACAACTACAACTTACACTACAACTACAACTACACCTACAACTACTGCGCTACACCATTACTACAATTACTACAGTTAAAACAATTGCAACTTTAACTACACTTCAACTACACTACAGCTACGACTACAACTACAGCTACAACCACAACTACAACATTACAACTTCAACAACTTCAACACCACTACAACTACAACTACAACGACAACGACAACTACAGCTACAATTACAACTACAACTACTGCGCTACACCATGCTACATCCAGGAGTCGGGAGTGAGGTGAGCGCTGCAACCATTGCAACCACTCCAAAAAGCACAGCTCCAACAACCTTTCCGTCCATCAGTGGATTCGCTCTGCCATCCGTGAGTCACAACAACCAACCCTTCCTATAGGTTTCCTTTTTTTGAAACTTCATTTCAAGCTATCTTTGGAAAAAGTTCAAACTATCAATAAATGTGCATGTATGTGTGGATGTATGTATGGATATATGGATTGAAAAATCTCACATAACAGAGTTTTTGAATGAAATATGTACACAACTTGGGACGCTTCGCTGCAAGATTGATGTGGTCGTATTCCTTAGGGAACTTACCACTTAGAAACTTTGCTTCTTGAATATGAGTTTAAAAAACCACACATGCGCACATGATATACAGTATATACACATATACATATATTTATAATATATATGTATAATATATATATATTTATTACGATATTATATATGTATATAAATGTATATATATATATGTATTACATGTGTTTGTTCAGATATAGTAATCGACCTACATGTTGGAGCAAACATAACCCCAAAGGATGTTTTTAAGTGTTGAGGGCATTTCTAAGTGTTGGGTTTTGTTTTTTAAATCAACACTTAGAAACTGAAATTTCGATAAATTCTTGAGTTTCTAAGTGTTTGCTCCAAATTTTGGAAAAATATATGTTTGTAAGTGTAAGTCGGTCGCTATATATATATAATTCTATATATTTATATCATATTATATATATAAGATTTTATATACACACAATTTTGGAGGTATACTCCATTTTCAGACACAACCAAACACAAACCGAAATATTCCAGAATGATATTTTATGGTCCGAGTCTAAACTAGAAAACCCAACATTCATGATGTTCCTTGAATCAAAAGGTAACACATCTCCCAGTTGTTGCGGAGTTCAAGCGCCGATGGCTGGCAGTTTTGGCGATGTGAAATGGTGGGACCCTTTTGCCACTCCAACTCAATGTCATGCCCAGATCAATAAACCCCTGGCTGTTAATTTGAGGTTCACCCTCGAAATAGTTTTCTACACTATATAAACATTAAAATGTGGAGCATCATTTTGCTAAACCGGGTGGATTTCGCAAAATCCCAGGGTTTTTGGCCAATTTCAGGGGTCACATCGGAGCACCAAGCAGCCCATGCAGCCCATGCCGTGCCCAGATAACCCGTTGCTGGAGCACTTGTTGTCCATTCCCGAGATCGATCCCGTGCATCCTCCATCCGTGGCAGGCTGGGCCCCTGGGCCCCTGGGCTGACCTTGGAACGACTGGGGAGATTCCATGGGGATTTTAAGGACCTCACTGGGACATAAAAAATGAAAGTTAACAGGGGTAACTATCCCAAGCCATGACCCATTGGTTAATGAATTGGAATTGTTCTTACTTATCTAGAACAATAGTGATACAGTGATACCAATGATACTTTGGGGTTGACGGTTATCCTATGGAAATGCGGGATCGCTAGTTCCAGCTTGGTTGGCTAGTTCCAGTAGTTGCTGTAAAAAGCAAGGGTGTTGTTAGATGAGGCATAAACATGAACATCGTAACATGGACACGAAGTAGGTTTCATTATCAGAATCATAAGAAAGCCTAATCTGGGAACCATGTCCATGAACCTGTGCATCATTGGCAGCAGGTTATGTTTTTTGGAGCCACAAAACCCCAAGTCCTTTAAGAAATCGAGGAAGAGTAGCCCGTAGTCGTCCCGCCTGTTCTTGATAATCCGATTCCGAATTAAAAAAATCAATATTAAACCGGATTTTTTAGCCGGGTATTCAATATTCGAGAGCAAAAATAATTGTAGGCTCTGTCCGACCTCTTTTTTCCACCTTATCGCATAGCCATCTTGGATCATCTTGGTATTTTGACACCCCAATGTGAACGTTGATAGGCGAAAAATGACTCAACTCTTCATCAGATCCTGAAGCAGAGGTCCTAAGGATCACCCTACAAAAATGTCGTATTGGGAGTCTTTAATTGCGATAAGCTCTTCACAAGGTGTTGGGGTTCAGAGACCTTGTGAACACAGGAAATGCCACCCAAATGATAGATAAGTTGGTTTGCAACGTGGGGTTGACAATGGTTCATCACTCCAGTTGTATGGTTGCAAACAAACCAGCAAACGTAACTGGGGAGGCACCACTTTGTATTGCTATTATACTATTCAGATCCTGTCATATTCCAATAATTTTCACTTTTTTTCATGGTAAGAAAACCGAATATTGTAGTCCACATGGCTTTATTGAGGTATATTAACCATTGTGAAGCCAGAAAACTAAAATCTGGCATTTTGAGGTATATTATTGAGGTATATTAACCACCTGAAGCATTTTGAATGATGGCCTCCCAGCAACACGTTTGCGCCACGTGCGCAGACTTCTCGAACTACGACTACGACGACCCGGACCGACCCCAGGGTCACTTCCCTGGCTTCGTTTGGACCAGCGGCTTCGACGAGCGGCTGTCAGTTGGTTGCATTGAAGCCAACAGCACTAACCACTATGGAGTTGATATTGATAACTATAGTATGGTTATATGGGTATGGATCAATACCTATTAATACCATTTTTAGTGGGATGAACATCCATTTACCAGCTATTTTGATGTTCACCAGGGGTACAAGGTTTTGACACACTGCCATATAATGGTTATAGATACCCCAGTATAGTTGATAGTGTATCCAACAGCACTGGGTTTTATCAACTCCAACAGCAATGGTTATAGATACCCCACCATGGACTGGATAATGTAGAGTTGCATCTCAGTATCCAAGAAATTGTTTCTATGTATCCAACTGAAATATTTTTGTAACAGTAACAGTTATTAACTGTACTTAAGTACACATTCATATGATGAATATGTTATTTTTGTCCCTCTATTGCTCATATATATATACGTATATATATATATATGTATTGTTTTTTTAAACAGAATATATTACAATATGACTGGTAAGACATCACATGGTCTTATGTTGTACTATATTACGATGCATTACACTGCATTGTATTTTGTTTTTTTGAAATCAACCCATATTATGGTTAGAAGTATATTACAGCACACTATAAGTCTCTACTATAGTGCATTTTATTGTCTTATTAAGTATATACACATCCAAGTTGATACTGTGGATGGTTCAGAAATCCGAATCACCAGTTGAAAACGGTGGTAAACATCCCATCCTTTAGATGGTGCAGGACTTGACCGCCCCAATGGCTTGACCTTAACGGCATCCATGGGGAGTCGGAGATGAACCATGACTTAGCACTGACTGAGAACATGAAGAAGAGCCAGAAATTATAAGATACCCTGGGGTAAACTAACATAGATGTGGAGAATGGTCCATTTTACAGATTATTATAGATGATTTGTAGATGGTTATAGAAGATAACAAATCATGTACCAAAATATCCAGTAGATTCCGTAGACGTGGCAGATGCCAAAAATCAATCCTCCATTTGGCTCCCCCATTTCACAGCCTTCACTGCTCAGGACCATCGGCGACTGTGCGCCGGAGGCCCAACTTTGGTCCTTGAAGTTGTTGAACTGGGTGGAGCCCTGCAAAGGCGCCCGGGCGACCCGCTGCAAGTCGCAAGTCACCAGGATCTGAACACTGGCAATTTGGACAAGCCAAGATAACTCCCCGTGTCGCGTGTTTTCTTTCAAACACTATGTAAAATGAATTTTATTAGGTTTCTCTGGTGCAGCAATGCTGGTTTGTGAATGCTTTTCTAAAACCGAATATCTTAACTTGGGTCATGTTTGATAAAGAATTTCAGGATTATGTGGATCATGTGGATCACTAATGGTCCAAAAAATGGTCAACTAATTATCCAATGGTCAAATTGGAATATCCCCAAAAATGGGAACAGGAATGCGACAAGGAATGGAGTTTTTTTTTTTGGTTCACCCAAAAATCGACTTTTCTGTAGAACAGTGATGAATCTCACTACTTTAATTTTTTTTTTTGTTAAGGGGGTTACTATAGCTTATTCTTGAACAAATTCATTTACTAATTTTACTACTTTCTTAGTACGTACCTCGCACAAGCACAATAACCAGTAGAAGCAACTCGCGGAGTTCTCCAGGGTCATCAGTACCCCATTTGTTCCAATAATATTCAATGAATTCTTAGTTGATGATATTCCCATTTTGTTACCCTCTGGTATACGTTTACATAACTATGGAAAATCACCATGCTATTAATGGGAACATTCACGAACTAAATCACCATTTTCAATAGCTATTTTGACATCACCAGAGGGTACCTGACATCCACCAATCTTTGTTAGTTAAATTTCCCATGAATTCCCATGGAACAATCCCAACCCAATGACGATTTATGGTTTCTGAAACCGTCCCAACCCACGGCCTGGTCTGGTCATCGCCTCGTCATCGTTACCGCCGCAGATGGTCCGGTGGTGCTTGGTGTGAACCTCACGACCTGCAAAAAGGAGATGCTCTCAGAAGAGTTCAATACCTTGATCCTTGCCTCAAAAACGGAGATTATCGCTGAACCGAGGATGTGGCTTAAAACAGCACTATATAATCTTTTCCAAGGGGGAGGTTGTCGGCCAGTTCATACATATATATCTTTTTAGCTCGTACAATATTAAGTATTCCCCATGTATTCCAAAGAATCCGCCATGACTGGGAACTTCGCAGGACTTGGATGAGTAATTGGTAAATAATCCATGTTAAATGGGGTTGACCAATAATAATAATGAGTAGTTGGTAAATAATCCAAACAATAAATACTCAATATTCCATGTATGCATACCAATTACTCATCATGACTATTGATTATTTGGATAAATTACATACCAAATATAGGACACCAAATGATTTTAAAATATACCAAATCATACTTGAGGAAACCGATCACGATTATTTGGTTGATGGTTTCTGATACTATGCATACATGTCTATGTATCTCATTTTCATTCCTACTTGGCATGCGAACCACTAGCCAGTTGTCACCTACGATTCCCGGGCCCCGCACAGCCAAGTCCTTAAATGCGCATCCCACTTAGTAACTGGATAACAACATTTAACAATAAATACATAAATATATATGTATACACATGTATATACACAACTTATGGACTTATGGATATACTATTTCAACTAACTCGATACATCCCGGATGCATATACAATTAGATAGTCCATCTATCTATCCGAACCAGGTCTGCCTCACATCCTGTGGCCCGGCCTCAGGACCTTCCAAGATGGCACCTGCCGTCTTAAGCAGTGCCCGAGCAAACCCAAACGCAGCCGGTGGTTTTTCCAAGCATCAAAAGTATGGGGGTCTTAACAAAAGCTGGGATATCACCAGGAGTTCAAGGGATTTCATAGGGGTAGAGATGAACATAGGATGGAAAACTCGTGAAAGCTTGGGATGAACATTTGGCAAAATGGTGATTTAACCAGCAAAGATGCGGAGGTTCAAGTGAAACAATGGATTTAATCATGGACAAATGGCATTTCAGCATACATGGGATCTAACCAGGCTTTTTGTAGGGACGACGATGCATGTTTCTTTTTGGGACAGCCCCAAATCAGTAAACAAATGGCTATATGTTTGATAAATGATGGTTGTCTAACGGCTACTGCTGATGATGGTTATCTTACGGGGTTGTACATGCTGCAAGCATTGTGCAAACAGCAGCGCAAAAACACATGCTATACGCATGTCTTTATACTAAAAAATGCAAAGAGAGACGAAATCCAACATCACACAGCGAAACAGGGAGACAACCATGCCAAAGAACAGATGCTCGTGTTTTCTTTTGGGGAGCGGTGCTGCGCCCTTCCCCACAATGACACCCCTTCTGCTCCGTTTTTACGCTTACAGTACCCAAGAAAGTGGCAAGACCACCGTTCGAACATATTCTCGCTACCCGAAACAAAGAAAGTTAACAAACAGCAGAGCCCTATAATTAATAACAAAACACTGAATCGATTAAAACCTATTAGAAACTCAAAGCAAACTCTAAACCAACCTTAAATAGACCCTAAACCAACCCTAAATGGGCTCCAAACGAACCGTGATTAAACTTAAAAACTGGCTCCATTTATTGGAAATCAACACCGAACATGTGGTCCATTGACTTACAATGATCCATTTTCCCACTTGGGACTGGATCCCAAATCTTTCAATTGCAAAGTCCCATGGCATGGCCCGCGACCGCCATATCAATAGCATTCAGTAGCTGCCGAAACAACTTCTAGATGTGCGAGGTATGAATTACCCTCCAGTAAACCAACATAGCTGTAGAAAATCACCAAGTTCAATAGGCAACTCATCTATAAATGGGCCATTTTCATCCATTTCCCGCTATGTCACAAAGTACAGGGTAGACAGGCCACGTCCCGTGGCAACCAGCTACCGCAACCGTTGGTGGTTGGACATCACCATTTGGTAAATGACCGTCACGGTGAAAAGGCTGCGGTTCTGCGGTTCTTGATCCACATCACCAAAATATGATCATCCGATCATCCATCTTAGAATACCAATCCTTGTAAGGGAGCTATTTAAACCTCTGCCAATGGTGCAGCCGGAGATCTGGCAAGGTGGACCTGTCATACCTTTTCAGAGCGGATTCATACTAGTGTCAGCAGAAAAGCTCTTGGTTCAAGCACTGGCCAAACCTAAATAGTGGAATCCAAACTTAGCCATGAACAACAGACAGCTGGCGCTTTCATCATTAACAAAGCACTAGAGTTCATTAAATTGACATAGACACAAATATATTCAGAACAAGAATGATAAGATGATCAACAAAGGCCAAGATCCAACCAGCAATATCCGAGCAAGGGGTGGCAGCGGTTAGCAAGGTATAGACAGCGATTCCGGCTTCCCAATGTGTCACAACCATGCAAGGAGGTTTCCAAAGAACCATGAACAAGTTTTTCTTGCCACAAACGCCTAGAAGCAGAATCTTTTTCTCACTTTGTGTTCATCCTTTCGCCATGGTTTCTGCAGGCAGGTGTCACACAATACTCCTCCAAAGTGATGGCAGCGCCGTTGCCTGCGGAACGAATACGTTTGGACAATGCAGCATTCCACCCCTCAGTGAAGGATTGACATACACCCAGGCTTCTGCAGGCAGGGCTCATACTGCTCTTCTTCGAAGCGATGGTCAGGTTGTCCTTTGCGGAAGCAACTCGCATGGACAATGCAACGTTCCGCCCTTGAAGGAGGGGATCTCATATATCCAGGTTTCAGCAGGAGAGCACCATACAGTGCTTCTTCGAAGTGATGGCTCTGCTGTTGTCCGTGGAGATAATAGCTTTGGACAGTGCAACATTCCAGCTTCAAAGGAGGGCAACTCATATGTTCAGGTTTCTGCAGGCCCCGATTACACCATGCTTCTCACCAGCGATGGAGAAGTGTTACGAGTCGGACAAACGGATCGTTGTGCTTATTGGACCGTGCAGGTCTTCGTTCCTAACTGCGAAGATGCGTGTTCCAGAAGTATCACTTCATGCAAACAGGTGTCTGCAGGTGGGCATCATATGCTTGTCCTCCACAGGTCTGGCAAGGCTCAGGCATTGAGTAATTTTGGGTATGATGATCATGGCCAGTGTCAGATTCCAGCTTTGGAGGAAGGAGTTTTATACACCCAGGCTGGTTTGTTGATGTTTCTTGTGTTTTTTTGGTGCCCAGCCCTGACAACCGGAATGATTCGCTGATATCATGATCCCCACGAATGTCCCACTCAAAAATTTGCAGGGTGGATCAGCAGCAGGTTTCTGCGGGTGGGCTTCATACACTACTTTTGCGAAGTGATGGCCGAGTTGTTGCTTGTGGCAGCAATGGCTGTGGTCAATGCCAAATTCCTCCGTTGGATGAAGGATCGGGACTTTCATACACCGAGGTGAGTGGCGCTCCGAAAAAAATAGACGACTGATATCTTGTGTTTTGGGACCCAATGCTGCCAATGCACGAAGAGTATAGTCCAATCGTGGATGATATCATTTCAATGTTCATGGATGATGAGCATCCCTTCTTTGTATGTTTTTTCGAATTTCCCATTTCCTACTTCGTACTGTAGACAGTGACTCATATTTTACAGATGATTCCAAATTCCAAGTCTCTGGCATGATTCCTCCTTGTGAGCCGGCCAGTTCTTTTTGGAGTTTGGTCATGGTTCGGCAGCCTCCACAGGTTTCTGCAGGTGACTACCACTCCGTGCTTCTTCGCAGTGATGGCATGGTTGTGACTTGCGGCGACAACAGCTTTGGACAATGCGACATTTCACCTCCCGAGCCTAGGAAAAGCTATGTGTGCGATCCGACATTCTCCTCCGGAGATATTATTGTGCACGTACAAGAAGTAATTGAGGAGAAGTCTGCCATCATTCTGAGATGCAGCAGAGGGTTGGCTGGGGAAAGCCTGGATGTAAAGCTTCAAAGACGTCACCTTGTCATGAACTTTCGCGCAGCCATTGCGAACGCATTTAAGGTGAATGTGCACCGTCTTCGAGTAGTCCTACCGAAGGGTGAGTTGCAGCCGAGTGTTGAGGAAGTACTTGTACAGCTTTGCAGGAAGAGCCCCCAATCAATAATGTGTGTTTCATGTCAGTAGAGAACACCCGGTGATCGGGATGTATGAATGTCTCATGATGTATACAATCTGTATATACTCTGTATATGTGTATCTGTATGAAGATCATAAAACCTGGGATGATTCTGCCCCCTTTGGGTCAGATGATTTCAGGCCAACTCTGTTGTGGTGACTGGTGGTCTTTGAACAGATGACCCACGGCCCAAAAAAAAAACAGATGACCTCACTGAACTCAGCGCTGGTGCAACTCTTGGAAGGATTTTGACTCCCCTGAAAAATGGCTCACTGCCTATATATATATACATACATACATACATTATACTGTATATATATACATTATATATATATATGCATAATATATCATAATATATATATATATTATAAATAAATGTATATATATATAATATCATACATATATCCATGCGGGTAATTTTTTGGTAAAATGAGCACACTGTTTTCATCTTCGGGGATTTTTGACCCATGGCTAAAATGACCCTTTTCCCCAGCCACATCACACGCTTCCCACTGGAAATACTGAGTTTTGTTGATGGATGCCCCTCAGATCTGTGGAGAAGATACTTTTCAAAACCTGATTTGTTTTTCCCCAGCGTAAGCTAATGGGGTCTTCAGCCCAGAATAGCTCCGGTGTGCACTGGTGCAGGCGCCGGGTCAGGTTCAACCAGGTTCTTTGGTGCAGAGCCAGGTCACGTTCAACAGGGTTCCGGAGAAGGTTCCGGAGAAGGTTCCAGGTCTGGGAGGCTTTGGTGCAGAGCTAGGTCAGGTTCAAGAGGATTTGCGGCCATTTAATTCACGGAAACCCATCTGAGGTGTTTCCAGCGCTTGGCTTCTTCGCAGCATGCTTCAGAAAGACTTGTAAAAATAAAACGTTGCGGCTGTTGGGGATACCACCGAAACTTATTTGTTTCCCAATTTTTCCAATTTTTACCATACATTTCATTCATTGACTCATGATGTTTCCCCTATTAGAACCACGACCTGCTGTTGACATCATTCAACAGTTCAACGCCGAGGTGCATTCGGCCAGCTGGGGCCATCAAACTCTGGTACACCTCTCAGATTTTGCGAACTGCTCCCATGGAGGCGGCCCAGGAACTGGGAGTTGTGAAGCTTGGGAATCTTGGTGATCTCACCCAAAGTCTGGTCATTGATCTACTGATGTATTATTTTTTAGGTATGTTTATTACTTTTTAGTTGAGGATCCATGATTTTTGAGCACAACAATCTTCAAAAGGTGCTTTTTCATCCATCATTTTGAGAAATCATGTTTACCCTGGATAAGAAACGATTAGAATCTATAAAACCCCCCTTGGGCTGGTGATCATTAGGGGGTAATTTCAAATTTAGTAGCAGATGCTATCACTGGGAGCACGTCCTTAGTCAACCAGGGGTGAGCAAAAAGCGGGCGGGAGGACCAAGGTCCAACACAGTGCCATCAGAATATTAACAGTTGGCATTTCATCCAACTTTTGAGTTTTTGTAGTTGATTATTTATATCATCCGATTATCATCCCTATCAGTACCCCATCAAAATCCCAATGTTTCTAATATATATATATTTTTTAATCAATATATGCGCAATTACCGTAATTATATTCTCACGATGTTCGCATCGTATTGCCATTCAATCCATGAAGTCCATTAAATCCCTATAGATCCCTATAGTTGGTTATATACTATATACATATCCCACTACATATCCCATATATATATATACACATCGTTGACTTCAGTACAGTTGACTTCAAATCCCATGTTTCATCATGCTTCACCCAGTGATGGCACCGGTTGATTTCCCTTGCAGGTCAGGAGCGGTTTGGTGTCGGTGTATTCCCAGCACTGCTCCGAAATTCTGTGGCTCGTTGTTTCAACGCACGGTGGAAACGGGATGTGGAAAACGGTTGAAATTCATGCTATATCGCATTAGTTCTCATTCATATCCCATAAATGTTAGTTTCCAACTATAGTGAGTTTTCTAATATCATTAATGTATATTAATGTTGGATTCACCCGCCATTTTCACCTACCAAAATTGGGGGATGGTAGACATTCCCAACCCATAAAGCCATGCTGCCATGGCTTGGATGGTGATGTGGGAAAATTGGATCCGAATTTTTGTGATCCTTTCTGGTGAATTGGATCTCCTTATTGTGTCTAAAGTTATGAAAAATCAATGGTGATGAATTGTGATGAACAATCCCATAGTGAAATTTATCTAATGACTTATTGAACCATTGATTCAAATCCATTGTTAGAGAACAAAAAATGATGATGGGATTGTGATTATCCCATTTCCTCATCATCATGCAACTTTCCGTCAAACCATCCGGAAAGGCTAAGTGGCAAATGGTGATTTAACCATGGAAAAACCCAGGGTGATTTAGCCAAGAAAAATATGAATTTCACCCCAGAAATGATGTTGATGTCTTACCGTAACCAATCCAAATTGGAATTTTAAGCAGCAGAATGGGGAGTTCAGGCTTTCTTAAAATGGGAGACCCTCAATGATGATCCCAGCGACTTGGGGTGACTTGGGGTATGCTGAGTCGCTTCGTTTCTCAGCCATTTCACGCGCAAGCATTGGAGACATAGGACAGTTTTTACCAACCATTTTTACCCACCAAACATAAGGAGATCTCCCAATACAACCGCAGCAAATGGGAATTTGAAGTCACCGTTGGAAACGGTAACGGCTTTCTCCAACGGTGCAGAATGAACATCTGTAGTAATGATCTGAAGATTCTGAAGCCAGAAGGACCTGGAACTTATGAGCCAGGATGATATGCCATGGTGAAAACTTGGATAACTGCCCATTGAATTGAGGGATGGGAAAACCATGGAATTCCACTGGGTAAATCCCAGGAATCGCCTTGTGGGATGACCATGGCACAAATAGTCTAGGCCTTGGATGGCGATTCCGAGCCATCCATCAACCATCATTAAGCATCCTTAAGCATTGTTACGCATGGTTAACCATTTGTTATTCATGGCCAGTCCCCATCTTTGAAGCCGTGAAAGATCCAAGACGCCCAGCTCCCAGCTCCCCTGGCTCCCTATCGCAAAGGTATGCGGACATGCCTGCGAATCATACCTTCCTGGGAGGTTCAGGCCTCATCATTCCCAAAGAGGTGCGGTGCGTTTTTTTCACCGAGCCTGCGAAGGTTTTTGGTCCAGATTTCGTCAGATTCCAAGCATTTTTTGGGTCCCAATGGACCATACTTTTTCACCGTTGCCACCAGTACTTGGTGTAGTGGAGAGGATGCCATTTCGGGTTTTGAAGCTGTGATCTGTGAAAATGACCCAAGGGAAGAGTGGAGAAAATTCTCCAACAGTGGGGATGGAATCGATCAAGAATGAGGATTCAAATATCAAAAAAGGATTTCATCAAGAAATGTATAGATTTAACAAGGTATAATGGGAAGATCATGGGATAGCATCCCAAATTCATGGTGATATTTTCATGAAATAGCAACAGAACTGGAGCATCATGGAGCATCCTCAGCCAGGCAATCAAACCTGGGAATGCGCAATTCCCCCAGCCCCGACCTCCAACGACCACCAGAAATGGTGCCTGTTTGGCCTGTTTGGGCGGAATCCCACGACAATGCGGCCTCAGGGATTTGTCATTGAACGACATGGTCCATCTATACAATAGCACACTGTTAGTTTACAGGCAGGTAATTCCCATTCGTAAAATCCCAGAAAGAACATCAAGTAGTTAAGATCCCATAAACATATCTCAGTTACTGTAGTTTATCTCAGATAACTATGGATGACTCACAAATTGGGGACTTTTTGCCCTTGGTCAGCGAAACCAAAAACAACTCACCGAGCGCTGCTGCGAGGCCGCCCAGCCGCGCTGCGAGGACGAGGACGAGGACAGCGAGGCGATTTTTATGGGAAAAACGTCAGGGTCATCCGAGCTGAAAACAGGGGTTGGTAACTGTCCCATTTTGGGAATATTGGACATCACCTTATAGTAGCCATTTGGTTGACCATATACCTAATGGTTGGGTGATGTGAAAAATGGGGACATTCAATGACCCATGGAAAATGTTTCGAAACATGTTTCCAAAAATGGTTTAGGCATGACGTTCGGAAAGGATAACACTGATAACACGAATGACTTTCGGATCATTTCTTGATATTTCTTGGATATTTCTTTCATAGATTGTATCGTACGATCTTTCGGTCAAGAATTTAACGCCAAAAGCGTGGGGCCCCTGCGGCCTGGGCGGGAGGAATCCCCTGTGGGCTTTGAACCATGAAAAACATGGGAAGTGAATCATATTTTGATATGGGTTTAATCATCTATACAACTTATTAATTTTTAAGAGTTATGAAATCAAGGTTTTCTATCTGAGCATCACGGGGGGGTACGGTGTACATACCTAGGGGGGGGTTAGGTACGGTACGGTACGTAGGTACGTGCTTTTGGGTATGGGTACGGTATGTAGGTACGTGCTTTTGGGTACGGGTACGGTACGTGGGTACGGTACGTGGGTACGGTACGTGGGTACGGTCCGTGGGTACGGCGTACTGGTACAGTGTACCCACCGTACCTGTTTTCAGAAAATGTGGTGCTATTTCCAAAATGTGGCGCTAATAGCAGCACATTTTGGAAATAGCACCACATTTTCTGAAATTAGGTACGGTGGGTACACTGTACCAGTACGCCGTACCTACGGACCATACCCACGTACCGTACCCGTACCGTACCCGCACCGTACCCGCATCGTACCCGTACCCACGGTACGTACCCACGGTACGTACCCACCGTACGTCCCCGTACCGACGCCCAAGTCGTACCCAGTTTTAGGGTCCCCAGGCACCCGATAGAGCATAACTCTTAAGAATTAATAATATACAACATTATACAACTACAAGTTGATAAATGATGGTTGATGGATGATTATCATATATTATCATTTCATAGGGAAGGGAACCATAAATTTTTATTGGGATATAGCTGATACAAAATTGGATGAGAATATGACGTCCAGAAACGATGATTTGTTTGAGGGCAACCACCGCAAGATGAGTGAATGTGTCAAGGTAGGTGAATTGCTGTTGTCCAGACAGAGAATTGACAGTATTACGGGGTATAGTACATGGATTGGCAAACGTTCCATTTTGAACATTTTGAAGATCACCAAAATATGTATTTGTTGGACATGACATCATATTATCTCTCCAACAGTTGGGTTATGTTGAATGAGGATGTAGTTTTTGTGGTGAAGAACCCTGGTTAGTAAGTCGATGGGTCATCTTATATTTACACATTCATGGGATATTTAAGTATGGGACATGGGATATTCCAGGGAGGTTTTTTCATGGGACAATTTCCGGGGGATTTTCTGGTGATTCACCAGGGGATCTCTTGTCAGGGGATCTCGTGGGTCAATGGGCCAGGCCTGTCGGCGAGAGAGCCACGGATGGAAGATGATCTTGGAGTTGACCAACACCAAGAGCCTCGGGCGAAACGACACGTTTTTTTTTTTTCCCGGCAAGGCAACTCTAGGGTGGGTGAAGGGCAATCGGGAAACGGATGCTGCAGATTTGTGCTTGAGGATTATGATTACTACTTGTATGATTACATCACTTTATACTATGAACTTATAAACTCATATATACCCTCTGGTAAACTAACATAGCCATTGAACATTGCCGGTTTACCTAGTAAAAATGGGTGGATTTTCTATAGCTATGTTAGTTTGCCAGAGGGTATCTGAAATATCTCACCGGTGGATACACCGGTCTTTTGTTTCTGCTTCAAGAATCGTAAGGAGCTACTTGAAAGATTATCTCACTTTGTGACCTAGTTTAGATTATTCGTGTAAGCCACTTGCAGGCAGGATACCCGCAAGAACAGGCAACAGGCAACAACAACATCATCAAAACCATAGAAATAATGAAACCAATAGCCTGTAATAGTAGATAATGATAGCCAAAATGATGAGAACCATATTGATAATGATAATGATGATAACAGAACAATGATATTCAAAAGAATCAACGTAAACATATCATTATCATAATACAAAAGAATCATCATCAGTATCATTATCATTATGTTTTTCATCCTTATCATTATCATTATAAAAGTAAATATCTTTTTCATAAATCATAAACACAAATCATAATCCCAGCATCATCATCCCAGTTTGTATTTTTCCATTTCTCCCGAAGCCCAGCCAATCGTTCAGCCGGCTCAGGAAGCCCTTCATCTCACAGGCAAATTTGCTGAAGCAACAGAGGCAAGGGCGATCGGTAAGGAGTAGATTTGAAGATGATCGGGCTAGGGGAACCATGGGGAAGCACCAGGTCCCAGGTGATTTAGCCGGGGAAATATAGGGTTAAATGATGTTAAATGGGACTTTGCCATCAAAGAAGGATTTACTGTAGCCAATGAATAGGAATGGATTCGGGGATGTCTAGGGGGCCCCCTATGGTCATTCAATCGGGGACGTGATCATTTTCCAGTGGATGGAATGGTACCTTATTTCCAGACATACGAGAACTTAGGAACCACCTCCTGCTATCACCAAAGAGTTCAGGCAGAAGATTGATGCCAGACTTGGATGCTTTTAATGATGGTTCCAAGTGGCAAAAACCGGGACACATCCAACCACAATTGGGATAAGCTTGCCCTTTTTTGGATGGTTGATACAATGTGGGGCCCCCCAGTTATAAGTTGGTTTATAAACCCCATTAACTATAGTTATAAGTACCATAAACCATAGTTATTGGAGTTATAAAGGAACTTAGCTATCTTGGGGGCCCCACATTGTAGTAAACATTCGGATGCATTTGATATCCCAAAACGGAGTGGTGAAGAATCCACTGAATTTGCGGTTCCTCAGAGCAAAATTGGCTTGACACACGTCCCATATGTCAAGTCGTTGGTGATTATGCTCCCATTGTAGCACCATCCACATACCTAACTGTTCTCGTTACCCTCTGGTAAACGTTTACATAACTATGGAAAATTACAATTTTTAATGGTTAAATCAACTATAAATGGCCATTTTCAATAGCTATGTTTGTTTACGGTACGTGGGCACCAGCATCTACTCCACAAATGATGATCTTGTGAACGCTGAATCTTGACTATGGTAGTTCTTGGCACGCGGCGTGTGGCACTTACCCGAAAGAGTTTCTTCATTTTTGCCACCAACTGAGTTGGTTATATGACCATTTCATATGTTTTATCTCCATATTTCTGGTATATGACCAAAAAACAACTTTCTTTGGGTCCCCCGGTCCCCCAGGGTCCGATAGAAATGCGACTGACCAGTCAATCTGACAATCGTTACTGACGATCATCCTAGAAGGGTTGATCCAATCGACCAAGATGAATGGTGCAAACGCCTACTGAACTGGATGATTTGGGGTACCCCCCATGACTTAGGAAACCTCCATAAGGTATGACCCTCTGGCAAACTAACATAACTGTGGACAATCACCATTTTATAGCTGGGTAGTCATCAACTATTTCTATTCTATGGCCATGGCTTCAAAAAACCTTAGTCATTACCAGGCCGGGTAATCACCATTAATTCACTATTAGCCATTAATAACCCCCATTAATCACCATTAATCACCATTTTCCACTGGTGAAGCATGGTTTTTTTGGACAAAAAATGGCCGGCCGAGCTCAGCTCAGCGCGCCGCAGTGTTCCTCCACCGCGCAGAAGCTTGGCCGAGCAGAAGGCGTAGCGGAACTCAATCATCGACTGGGCGAAATCAGAGATTTGAAATACCCTCTGGTTATGTCAAAATAGCTATTGAAAATGGCTATTTATAGTGGATTTTCCCATTAAAAATGGTGATTTTCCATAGTTATGTTAGTTTACCAGAGGGTATCAAAGAGATGGGTGATATATTCTAAATATGTAAAAATCATGGTTTAATGAATTTTATTGGTTATGAAATAGGAAGTTATAGTATCTGATTGATGGTTGGATTGTATATGATAATCCAAAGAAGGGAAGTCTTGAAAAACCATGTAGGCTGTGCCACACACATCAAGCCCTCAAGCGCTGGCGGGATGATCCCTTTCGAAGCTAGCAATGAGATGCTGGCCGCTGAACCACAAACCATCACATGAATATTATCAAGGAAAAAACATATACAGGAAAATATAGAGGGTAACTAAAATCCAACAAATCTGGATTAATTTGATTACTAGATATTAGATTCTAAGGGAACCCACTTCAGTGGCCCACCGAAGTGTGGAAAAAGATGGGGGTTCCGTTGCTCTCCACCAGATCTCCTGGCTATGGCACTCATTTTTGACCCAGATTTCTGGGATGGTATACCTATTCTTTTAGAGGTAAATTATCGAGCTAAATGGAGCATTTTCCATAGCAAACGGTGATTCATTACCAGAGGGTAGAAGTCCATTGGGGTAGAAGTCCCTTGGTTGTTTCCCAGGCATTTGAAACTTGACCAATGCATAAATGTTTCAGAGAAGGTTCAGTAAAGTTGGCAGTTTCTTCCCAAGAAATTCACCATTTTGCGGACTTGGGAAGCACTAATGCTCAACCGGAATGCTAAAGCCATCAAGGTTTTTATTGCTCTCAGGAACGGTTGGTTCCTGATGGTTTATGGCTTTGTATTTCCAAGATTTATGATGGTTTATCATGGTTCATGATAGTTTATGATGGTTTATGGCTTTTCCCCTGTCCAACGGGGAAAAAAACCTATGGCATTTCCATTCCAAAACCGTGCAGGCTGTGAATCCTCTGTGGATTCCGGTGGTGAACGCCATCAAACATGGCATCCCATCACAGCCCTTGGGCCTGGTGTTAGGGGAAGCCGTTTTCACCCAGAAACCCGTGGTTTTTTTGACTGGGGGATTCAAAAAAGTCGGACCTTCAGGGGGATTGGAGGCAATTGAAAATGACACTTCCAGCGTTTTGTTTCATGTTCATCCACCTGGAAAATGGAACATCAAGATATATATATACCCTCTGGTAAACTAACATAACTATGGAAAATCACCATTTTGAATAGGTAAATCCACTATAAATGGCCATTTTCAATAGCTATGTGAAATTACCAGAGGGTATACACATAAAGAACGTCTTCCATAGTCAAGCCTTCATTATCATATGGGGGAGAACATGAAAATTTGATGAGACTCAATGCAGTGTGTGCCTTTTTTTTTCAGGGCTTTACAGGTTCCAATCCCATAACTTCGGACGGTTCAAACACGTCCCAAAAGCACACATGAGTTGTTCGCCTAAAACAACAGAAGCGTTGGATTGTATATTGGACAGCAATAAAATCAAAGAAGATAAGACGGGACAGCCCCAGACATCATACATGTCGCAGAATGACCCAATGATGTTGTGACATTATCATAGATATCATTCACATGGACAATATAATTAATATGAAGTAATGACAATCCATTGAATAGTAAAAATTGCGATATCCATTGTATTAAAGTGGTATATCCATTTTATTGTATCAATTCACCACTAGAAAATAAACCAATGACATTCCATTGAGTTGAGTGGGGTCAACCTGTCGCTGCCGAGACGCGGATGTTGTATAACTTGGACATATCCCATGCAGGTAGCTGGGTTTCGTATGGTTAGCCACTTAGGATCTCTGGTAAAAACTAGCATAACTGTTGAAAATCACCATTTTATAGCTGGGTAAATCAACTCTTTCGACTGGGCCATTTTCAATAGCTATGTTAAATATTGTTAAATTACCAGGCCGGGTAGGATTTCTGGGATGAACATAAAAAGTGACCCGCTTTTTGGAGCAAGCCGGCCGAAAAGCTTAGGTATCCCAATGTGCCCATTCCTGAAAGCGCTCAAATCGAGGCGGTTCAGACGGGTCTGGTTGGGTGTACAGACCCATCAGATCTAATGAGTGGAGAATGGGCCAGTCCAGCCCTTCCTTTTTTCGGCTACCCTCTGGTAAACGTTTACATAACTATGGAAAATCACCATTTTCAATGGGTACATCCACTATTTCTATGGGCCATTTTCAATAGCTATGTTAAGTTACCAGAGGGTACAATGGAGCTATTTTTGATGCAAGATTTCAAAAGGATTGGCGAAATCTCTGCCGAACCAATGGCCATGAAGCAACATTGATTTACCCACTGGTAAACTAACATAACTATTGAAACGTGCCATAGAAATCGTGAATTTTTCCCATTAAACAATGTGATTTTTCCATAGTTATGTTAAATTACCAGAGGGTATCACCTAAAAGGATCTAGATCTTCAGTTCCCAATCAGTGTTTGCGAGTGGTTCATACCCAGCATTTTTTTTTGTGTGATTTCGCTTGTCCATTTGATAGATTTCCTGAAGCTGATTTTCCAACAAAATGTCAGACATGCAAATGGGATATGATTGGATATTCCCAACAATTCCCCTTGGACAACGAATTGGACGAGCTTTGGCTTTAAGCCTGTCAGACATGGCCATACTTTCAAAATCATGTGGTAAACCCAATGCCATAAGCCATCCAATTTCCCAACCATGACAGGGGCATCATCCTAAACACGGGGTACATCCAATGATATATACCTCAAACTTCTGGATGGTTTATGACACCGGGTCTATCACATGAACTTCATTTGGAGCATCAATGTCAAAGGACCCCAAAGGGTTGGTTACGGGATTTTTTTTTATAAACCAACATTTGGTATGATAGCTATTGCTGGATTATCATAAATGTACCCTCTGGTTATTTAACATAGCCATGGACAATGGCTCATTTACATATGATTTTCCCAGCTAGAAACCTCCATTTATGATGGTTTTCCAAAGCTATTTTATGCTTGGTATCCCCCTTCTAGCAACAACGGCTAGCTAGCCGCCACGCGGAGCCAGGATATCAAACCCGTCCGCATCGCGTTGATCCGCAGCATCCTGGGTTCCTAGGTCGCAGCGAGGGCCAGAGGTTTCGTCGCAATTTTAGGGGGGATTTCGTCAATTTCGTTTCAGCATCAAAGATGATGGTGAGTTGACTCAGTGACCACCACTCAAATAGGGATTCAACCATCAAACATAGGGCTTTTTGTGAAAAATGATCAAAGATCATGCATGCATTTCACCAAGCATTGGGATTTCACCAGCTTTGAGATTTAAGCACCAAGGTTATTGTTTTTAACCAATAAACAGCAATAAGCATGTGGAAGATATGTATGATAAACTGCTACGCCAATTCCAACAGAATATGCATCATAAGCCATCAACATATCCAAATAATGTTTAGTGACTTTAATAAATTGTTGAACCGGTGGATGTAAATCATGAAAAAACGTGGTTCACAATTTCTAAACCTAACATAATTCACAAAAAATTATACCTAAGATAAATAGGATGCCCCATTTTTACCGAACATCAATGGGATGATTATTTTCCCCCCATTTTTCGTTTGGGGATGGTGAACATGACAGGTGAATCCGTGAATCCCACATGTCCATGACTGGGGCATTCTCCCTGGGGATGGCTATCACGATAAAAACAACCACCGGTTAATGATGACTAGTGAATAGCCACTGGCTATTAATGGCTATTATACAATGGCTATTAATGATTATGAATGATTAGTTATTAATGGCTATGAATGGTTATCAATGGTTGTTAATGGTTATGAATGGTTGTTAATGATTAATGGTTACTATGAATAGTGATGCTGGTGGTGAACTTCATCACTATGGATGACCATTTCATCTTGGTGAATTGTTTTAATACCGCCTGGGGTGTCAGCAAAAACATGGTGAGATAAATTTTAAATTACACAATCGATCCATAACCTGTAGTCTCTGGCCACTGAAAATGGTGTTAGATGATTTCATCAATGTTAGCCATTTTAATAGACATACATTGTCAGCTGCAAACACCGCTATTTGGATTGTACAAGATTGACTACTCATTCAACCAAGCTTGTTCGAGAAAGAAGTCGTGTTCAGACCTACGAGCTACATTGGGCCAAGAATCCGTGGCGTTGACCCATTTTGAGTCCAACATTGAGATGAGAATCTATGAATGTTTGACCTGAACCTCCAAAATTCCAAGTTTCCATTCAATAGACTTTCCACTTGGATTTCATCTCCAGCTTTTTCATAGAGATTCCACATCTTCAATCATATTTTAGGTCCCCCCAAGACAACCTGGATTTCTATCATATTTCTATCATATGTCGTTTTGGAATATGTAAAAGCTCCAGCTTCGTAAAGATTCCAGATCTTTCATCGTTCATGTTTCATGGGGTTTGAATCATGGGATGTCTCCCTTATCGGATAACCCCCAAAAAATAGGAATGTGTACATAGGGATTTGAGGACTATAGGATGATTTTTCAGGATAGGTCCTATTTAAATCTATTTAATATGTTATTAATTAAGTCATATATTTTTTGTCACTTATCCCATCTCATGATCTCATGTTATAATGCCTTTCATAGGATTTCCCACATGAAATGACTCGGATTGCCCAAGGCAACAGCTCGGCGCGGACGTCCCTGGATTCCACCTGCGGGATCCTGGACGAACTGGTGCGGAAGTGCAACCGCTCCAGGCCGAAGAAAGGGGGGGCAGTCAAAACCATCAAGAAATGAGGATTTTTGATGGGATTTTTCATATTTTTTATGGTTTTTTTCATATTTTTCATGGGATTTTCAATGAGATTTCATGGGATATATTAGGCTTTTTTCTCTGGTCAGTTGCAATAGCGACCTGGAAAATCCGCTTTTTTTTTGGTCAATATTTGAACTCAATGGACGGCTCCCATGTGAGTCTTCATAGCCTCTGGTAAAGGTAGAAAAAGCTATGGAAAATCTCTATTTTTAATGGGTAAATCAATGGGTAAAATCTCTATTTAACTATTTTTAATGGGTAAATCAACTATTTCTATGGCAATTTTCAATCGTTATGTAAACGTTTACCAGAGGGTAATTTCGAAATGAGCAGTTTTTTGGGTGGAAAATGGGCATGAGGGCAGAAAGGATCGGCAAACATCCCAATTTAAAAAAAACCCGAAACTTGACTGCAAAAACGTCTTTAGGGACGACGATGAGAAAGTAGAACTGAAATCCCAGCTTTGAGGATGAACATGGCTGGTTGGTGGTTTGGAACATTTGGATTATTTTTCCATATAGTTGGGATGATGATCCAATCTGACTCATATTTTTCAAGGGGGTTGAAACCACCAACCAGATGGAATTGAACGAAAATTATAGATATAAGTTATAAAGGTCAGGCCAGCTGCCAGCTTTTGAGCTTAGTAACACCTTCGCAATCTTTCTGAAGATCCTCAGGCTGAAGGGATGTTTTTAGAGGGGTCTTGCCAAAAACCACGTCGTTTCCTGTAGATGTTCCCTTCGTGATATCCAAAAGAAGCATGTGCCGTAGTCAGTTGGAAAACATGACGTGCACCATGAAAAGTGGGACAATTTTTATCCAGATGTGGGTATGGATCAATACCTATTAATACCATTTTTAGTGGGATGAACATCCATTTACCAGCTATTTTGGGGTTCACCAGGGGCACAAGGTTTTGACACACTGCCATGTAAGGATTCCCAATCTCATGCCAATGAGCAGAACCATCCAGAACCCATATACCACGACCCAAATATACTTGGTGATTCATCACACTTAGTAAGTAAGTAGGTTGTAACCCCAGTTGCAAGTGGATTAGCCCTACTTATCCGACTAACACAACCAGGGATATAATCTACTTTCGATCCGTGGGTGAACCAATTATTCATAGTAACATCCCACCAGCATTTTTTCAATTTTTTGATGCTGAAAATCGCTTGAAAATCCCATTCCATTTATAGATGATTCGTCCCCATTCTATATCCCTATCATAATCCCTACGGAAGTCCCAAAAAAACATCACTAAAGGATTATCCTATTATCCTATGGGATAAATCCCATTCAAATCCCTGTTCAATGCCCATAAAATCCCGGTTATGGGGGTCAAACAATGTCATAGACCACCCATTTGGGAATTGTTTGTACCACCTATTAACATGTTGAAATTGGGGATGGTTTATGATATTGTTTTGCCAACATTACATAATAATACATCATATACCATTCCAATGGGTTTTCCCCGTAAACATTACATAACTGGATGGTGGTTTCAACCATTTTTTATTTTCCATGATATATGGGATAATCCTTCTCATTGACGAACTCATATTTTTCAAGATGGTTATTGCACCACCAACCAGGTTATTATTAACCATCATTAACCATATATCAACCATATATTAACCATATATATTAACCATATATTAACCATCATTAACCATCATTAACCATCATAAACCTACGTCATTTCCGCGGTTCCAAGGTCCCGCCCTTTACGAAAACCGTTTCGCCGCTGCTTTTCTCCGGGCAGGTGGGAGGATGACCCTCGCTGCGTGAATCCCTTGGACGGGAAGCCGGGCTGCGAGGCGCGGAGCCCTCGATGTTGTAAGACGACGGATGGCCAGCGTAGAGGAGCATGGATAATATGGATCGATCAATATAGATTATCCATGATATCCATAGATCATCTACAGATAATAATCACTAATCATCTATAATCATCTATAATTATCTATAATTATCTATAGTATATCCTCAATATCCATGGTATACCCTCTGGTAAACGTTTACATAACGAACTGGAAAATCTCTATTTTTAATGGGTAAAGGTCAACTATAAATGGTAATTTTCCATAGCTATGTAAATGTTTACCAGAGGGTAAGTATGAAGATCTAATAGCATGAAACAAACAGATAGAAATATAGGATGATACGTAAAATGAGGAGACATGGTGCAGACATGTTGCGAAAAGTAGGTACATATGAAGAAATTAGAGGAGAGAAAAGAAAGATGAAACGAAGGAGACACAGGAAGAAGAATTGAGACAGACATTTTTATATACAAGCATGCACATACATACAAACATGCCTCACACAGAAATGTCATTTTACACACAGATTCTTTACCGCACCAACACTTTTGCACACAAACCCTTTCGCGCACACCGGCTTCTACACTCGAACCTCCCGACACCGCAAAATCGCAATTTTACCTCAGTTTTTGACACTCGAACCTCATTTCGGCGAAAGGGTGACCACTTCGTGGCGCCTCGTCGGCACTGCCTGCGGCCTTAAGAGAGAAAAGAAAAAGAAGGAGAGAGACTGTGACAGAGGGCAAGAGACAGACACAGAGAGAGAGAGAGAGAGAGAGAGAGAAAGAGAGAGAGTTAGAGAGAGAGAGAGAGAGAAGATGCGAAGATGCGAAGATGTGAAGATGAGAAGATGAGAAGATGCGCAGATGTGAAGATGTGAAGATGTAAAGATGTGAAGATGAGAAGATGTGAAGATCATTGAAGATGTGAAGATGAGAAGAGGAGAAGATGTGATGAAGATGTGAACATATGAAGCTGAATAGCAGACCTCCACTTTTAGAAGAACCCTTCGCTCAGACGCTCTCGTGCATGGCGCGGGTCTATGCTGTAAGAAAAAGCGCAGATTGTCATCGGTCAATGGTTATGAAGAGTTATTAATGGTTAATGGTTATCAGCCATCAGTTCAAAGTTTAATGGTTAATGATGGTTGATGATGATAATTGGTGATTATGAATGGTTAATCATGATGGTTAAATATGATTAATGTGAGTTTTTAGCAAAACTAAAGTAGCCATGTGGATTCATGGTTTATATAATACTTAAATCCAATGATGACACTTGATTGTTAATCACCAGACTACCAGCTTATATCAACACCATTGGTTATAGACCAGGGGATTTCAAAGCATCAATGGTTACTTATGGTCACTGTAATAATGGTCAATAATGATAATTTGCGGTGACTATGGTAAGATATGGATCAATCATTGTCATTGTTAAACATACTAAACCCATGATAGGATATGGTAAATAATCATGACGGATAACCCATGTTACTGGGAAATCTCGTAATGCTGAACCATTTCCCAATAGGATGTTAGTAAAGCAATGTCACAAACCACCCATATGAATTGATCGTTTATAACATCCGTAAAAAAAGGTAAATTTGGGGCTGATGGATCCGTTTTTGCTCTGCTAATCTTCGTTTTTTTGTCAGATATCAGTCCCATTGGTTTATAGATGGTTTATCCCATTATTTCTAGGGTCTCAACCATCGGTGATGCAGGATTTCTGAACCATCCACAGCATCAGTCCGGTGGAGGCGGGAAGGCATCTGCATCACGACCACTTTGGGAGCATCAAATGCTTGGCATGTCCTACTGGCTTCTTCCTGCCGGTAGCTTGGAGATCGATCGCGCCAGGAGGTCGAGGTGATTCGAGGAGATTGGACTTATCAAAAGTAAGGGCTTGGGCCATCAAAAATAGTGGGTTATGCATCAAACATGTTGGTTTATACAGTTTATACATGAAAAATTGTTGTTTACGGGACATTTTAATGCAGGCGCTTTGGTAAATGTTAAGGACCCTTTTGTTAACTGGGATGCACCTTGAAGTCAACATATGAGCCGGGAATCTCACATGACTCAATGGATACTCTGTGAAACACAGATTCCGATGTGAATATCGGAGTGGTTTTAACCGTAATCTCAGAAGTTGTTTATTGGGGGGAACCCTGGGTTCAGAATTCACAATGGGTGACGACTACTTATTGCATCAACTCATGAACCGGGGAGATTTTCAGCGACAATCCTATGCCTTTGATCCAGAAATGTACAATATTTTAGTGCAGTTGAAAAAAATGACATCCACAGGTTGGCATCATTCAAGAATAAGAAAACAACACATTAATTTTTGTTAGAATCATTTACCTTGTCCTCCCGAGTAATGTTAATAGACCAGACAGGCATCACTTCTTGCCGCCAACTGTGAGCAGAACTGGTGATATGACACCGGTTCAGTCTTCCCAGGGCAAAACAAAGTATTCCTCCCCTGATGTTTTGATGTGGGTGTGTCTGAAATTGGGGTGAATACATATCACCTAAAAAATTGGCAAAATGGGGATTCTGGATGTTATAATAGGTTTGTTTATCATCATTGCTAGCTAGTAGTTTCATTTCATCATTTTCATCATCTTCATCATTTTCATCATTTTCATCATTTTCATCATTTTCATCATTTTCATCATTTAGATCCTTCACCAAAGTTTCATCATTCCCATTTTGATTTTTGAAGGCCCAGCATTAATTAGTTACCCTCAAACTCACTGTGTTTGTTTGTCATCACATAATATCCCCAGAGTTTAGTCACCCCCTGTTTCATGTTTTGTGTTTCATCATGGTCGACGTCATCGTAATCGTAATCGTCATCGTCATCGTCATCGTCATCGTCATCATCATCATCACCATCATCATCGTCAATTATCTTACCTCGTTTCTTTCATCATCCGTTTTATTTACAGTATATTTTTTATCAAACTTTATGCTGCTTCCTATTGATTAGTTTATTACCAAGGTGTTTCTTTGAGGTTTGTTCGCTTTGTTGAGATGAAATCTCGCTCCGCGCTTCATCGATGACCTCGCAAAAAGCCATGCTGGATGCCCCAGACGGAAAGGCTGAAGGGAAAGCTACCCTCTGGCAACTTAACGTTGCAATGGACAATCCCTTCTACAATGGGTAAATCATCAAGAAATTGATGGGTGAGAATCGGCTTGTCGGAAAATGGATCTCCAAATTTCAGTGGTTAAGAACATGGTTTTCCCCTATTAAAATTGCCATTTGGAGTGTGCCATACATAGTATTCTAGTATCTTATAGGTATTTTACCCCTTCCCCCCTGTACATCTACCAACCCGCATAATTCTACTCGGCATTATTTCTTTGGTCCGATGATGACGATGAGAGAAATGAGGTTTGACGATTATTATGTCACTATTCACTATGATTTGTTTCTAACCAGTCATAGCAAAACATGTGCGCATGTACTTTACATGTGGATCACGATTGTGTTCGTGTGATGTTTTGGCCGCCCTTGGCCCAGGCCATCCCGGGCCAGAACTCGAAGCTTTTATTTGCATATCAAGTGATCTTTCAAGCCATGGACTTCGTGCACAGAGATGGCGCGGTGTTTCTGAGGGATATCCTTGCATACCAGAAGCTGATTCAGGATATAAAAGGTGATCGCATTGAGTTCCCAGGTTCGCCTAACGAATCATTTGAGCCTGACAGGGAGGTTGTTGTCAGCTTCCCTGGCATCCATGGCTATGCATGGAATGTGTTGACGAATCGTTGGAGCAACTTGCTCACATCTTGTATCTTTTTGCCCGATAAAACCTCTTTGGGCTATGGCCAGCACCCCAATGGCGCAGCTTGTCACTGCCACCACCTTTATGGAGAGCAAAAAGAATGGGGATGCGAGTGGTACGTCATGTGGATGGCCAAGATCCGTGCAGCTGCAGAGGCCGGTTGCAAGCTCATCGTGGTGACTAAGATGGATGGTAGCCTTGGGTTTTCACAAGAGGGTGAGGTTCGATTTTTGAGAAGTTCTGGCTACTGCTTCTCGACAATATCCATCGGGCTTTTTGCATCGAGCATCTCTGACGTTGAATGCCAATGTTGCCCATCATGTTGCCCATCATGTTGGTCTTGCTTCTGGGTCTGCTTGTGGTGGATATTTCGGTGCTTGTGGTGGATATTTGGGATCTTGTTCTGTGTGCTTTTGGTTGGGCCTGGACTTCTTTATCTTGTGACTTTCTTTCTCATTGAAGAGCCTATAAGGAAGTGTCTAGGCTGCTCTGACCCTGACGTTTATAATCAAACGGCTGAGGAGCTCTGGTTGAATGGAACGGCGGTTCCAGGTTGTCCAACACTTCCTTCTTGGTATCAACCCATCAGGTCCTCTCTTTCTGTAGTTGGTCTCTTCTACCTGATACCAGCCTTTGGAGCCGGTGTCATCTGGTGGTGCTCCTCGATTCAACAAATTTTCCCCTCTCTACCCCGTCTACAAGTTCGAGATGTCTGTCTTGCAGCCCTGGAAAATATCTGGTCAGCCATCTGCTGGACCGTCTCCCAAGCCATACATGCATTTAATAAAATCTTTGATGCATTAATAAAAAAAAATGACTCAGCCACCTTTGATAGAATCACACAACGCACTGGATATGTTCGTCTGAGCCCGTCTCACCCCTGATTGACAAAGAGAAACAGCCACCATTCGCTGTGACTGAGAAAAGAGGTGCTCTCCAATCATGCCATTTGCAATTCAATTTGGCCTTGACGTTGAAAAAACTATGCTACGTGCCGGTGATATTCAATGTTCCACTTAAAGTGTGCGACTAGACAAAGGCCCAGAAACAGCTTCATAAGCGTCGAATCTCTTGACAATTGATGAACAACACTTAGCATTCTGCAAAAAACATGGAGTGAAACAAAGGGGACAGTTTCTCACAAAGACTGGGTGATGTTTCCTGAAACACCAGGGTTGAACCACAACCCCAGTATTTTGCCTCTCCTTCGCTCGTCCCGGCCACCTTGAGGTTAGTAAGTCATCTTTGATGAGACCTTCATTGAGGGTTTCCGCGTGGCAAATTTCAAAGCCGGATTTTTGGTGAAACTCTCAAGAACATAATTGAGGCAAAATGACCTTTCCAAATACTTTTCGGAATTGACATTTGGATTGGTGAGTTGAACCTTTTTGGGGAACATCCCAAAACCCTTGAGATGTATCATAGGTCTTCATACATATTGGTAATCACACACACACACACGGACATATACACAGTTACATACATACAAATACCAGTAGTACCGCGCAAGGTGGTGGCGGAAGTTTCAAGGATAGGACACTATAGGAGAGGTGAGTTGCTGTGATGCATGGATGGCAGAGCGAATCCACTGATGGACCGAAAGGTGGTTGGAGCTGTGCTTTTTGGAGTGGTTGCAATGGTTGCAGTGGTCACCTCACTCACAACTCCTGGATGTAGTGTGGTGTAGTGCAGTAGTTGTAGTTGTAGTTGTAGTGGGGTTGATGTTGTTGAAGTTGTAATGTTGTAGTTGGTTGTAGTTGTAGTTGTAGTTGTAGTTGTAGTTGGAGTTGGAGTTGCAGTTGTAGTGTAGTTGAAGTGTAGTTGAAGTTGTAATTGCCTTAATTTGAGTAATTGTAGTAGTTGCAATAGTTGTAGGAGTTGGAGTTGTAGTTGTAACTGTAGCTGTAGTTGTGGTGTAGTGTCGTGGTAATTGTTGTAGTAGTGTGTTTGAAGTTGAAGTTGAAGTTGTAGCTGAAGTGTAGTTGTAGTGTAGCTGACGTTGTAGTTGTAGTTGTAATTGCAGCTGTAGTTGCAGTGGCAGCTGTAGTGTAGTTGTAGTAGTTGTTGCAGTTGTAGTTGTGGTTGTTGTGGCACTTGTAATTGTAGTTGTAGTATATAATTGTTGCTGAGGTAGTTGAAGTGTAGTTGAAGTTGTAGTTGTGGTTGTAGCTGTAGTTTTTGTAGTTGAAGTGTATTTGAAGTTGTAGTTGTAGTGCAGTTGTAGTTGTAGTTGGAGCCGTAGTTGTAGTGCGGTGTAGTGCAGTTGCAATTGTCTGTCCATCTGTCTATCTATATATATCTGTTTATCTATTTGTCTTTCCTATCTGCAAGCTTGAAAACGAAGCTATTCTGCGAGACTTCCTCAGTTTTTGAACTTGACAACATCAAAAACGTAGCAATTCTGCGAGACTTCCTCAATTTTTGAACTTGACAATGTCAAAAACGAAACAATTCTGCGAGACGTCCTCAATTTTTTGAAGTTGACAACATCAAAAACGAAGAAATTCTGCGAGAGTTCCTTCAAAAATGGAAAGTTGAGTGCAGAGCTGACGGCCTCGTACCAATGCGTTTTTGTGATTTTTCCACTTCATCTGTCTAAAGTGTTGCGCCTGCCACGTAAAAGTGATGCCAGGTCATACGAAGTGCTGCACCTGTCGCGCAAATCGTCTCAGCAAACCTGAAGATCTGATGCTCCAAAATGCAACGCCTCTCAGGAAATCAGCGCCCTGACCTCCTAACATCTCTGATGAACATGTCTTTTGTACTACGCCTGCCACACGAAATGCATCTTTCCAGATCCTCTTCACATGTCCCACGCCTGCCATCGTTTTTGGAAATATTACAAAACCCTCACGTTCTGCTCACTTTTGGCAAGGTTGCACAATCCCTTGCGCTTGCCACGCGAAACGACATCTGAACCTTCAACAGTGGTCCGAGCATGTGGTGTTTTTAACATTTCGACTTGGAAACGTGCTTCGCGCCACAACGGCGTACACTTTTTTCGACATGTCAACCTCGAAAAGTGGTCCGAGCATGGTGTGTTTTGTACATTTTGACTTGGACATGTTCTTCACGCCACAACGGCGTGCACTTTTTCGACATCACAACTTCCAAAAGTGGTCCGACACTGAGGTGTTTTGTACATTTTGACTTCGAAATGTGCTTCGCGCCACAATGGCGTGTACTTTTTCCACATCTCAACTTCCAAAAGTGGTCCGACCCTGGTGTGCTTTGTACATTTTGACTTGGAAACATGTTTTGCGCCACAACGGCGTGCAACTTTTATCTCTCATCTGGCCAGATGGCTCCGCACTTGGCGCTTTAGCGAGCCTACTCTTCGACCCTCCAGAGCCACAAATCATTTGAAAAACACAGTGTTTCGCGACTTTCCTCCCTTTTCGCGCGCCTGGATCTTCTTTCTTCTGAGATTTTCTATATTTTGATCTTCTTTCTTCTTTCTTCTTCTCTTCTCTGACTCTTCCCATCGCTGCTTTTCATATGCCCATATTGTCGGAACTTTGACTTTTAAACTTCCTTCGGCTATATACCTTTTTACCCTTCCTTTGAGGGAAATTTTTAGGTGTTTCGCGTTAGGTGTTTCGCACTGGTCTGGAGCAACGGATGGGTTGGGTGAGAGTGGAGGGTTTTAGACACGCATACATACTATTCATTTCTATTCATTCTTTTTGAAGAAAGAGGATAATACTGCTCATTCTGATTCCCTTTCCCCAAATATCAAATACTGTCGCCCCCAAGAACCACCTGGTTTAGTGCTGGCCCTGTTCATTTTGGGGCTCCGTATGGCTGATTTGTTGATGGTTAGTATCCAATTTTCTATATTCCCGGTAATCACGCCGTAAAAGTATATACATTTCTTAAAATATTACGGCAAGGGCCTGCTAGTTTTAGGTTGGTTTATAAACACATCTAAATGTAGATATATCCACCACAAGTCCAGTCGTTAGCCTAGCTATAAACCGATTGACCTATCCTTTGGGGGGTCCTTTCCTGTCAGAAATTAACCATTTTAGAGGACAGATAGTCTTCCAATCCCTTGTCTGGCAGGGTCTATGTTAGTTGGGGGGATGGCACCTGCTTAACAAGTTGGGATTAGGATTCATTCCCATCTAGGGATGGGTCAAAACCTATCAGCATAGTAAGGGAACAACCATCCATTAACCAACTATTTTGGGGTACCTAGGGTACTAGGTTTTGACTCATTCCCATCTTCCCCCCAAGAAATCTCAAAACAACCGGCCCATGAGTTTCTAGGCGCGGTCAGTGGAGAAGGCGCAACCTGGGTTCCGGAGGTGTTTTTTTGGAACCAAAAAAAATTGTGATTTAATTTAACTTAGAAACATGATTATTTAAACGATAAAAAAACATGTTGATTGAAACAACAACATATTTTCGTGATGTAGCAAATAAAGTAAACCATAAACATGGTGATTGAACCAACAAAATCATGGTTATCCATCCTGGAAAATTGGGTTTATTCTCACATGGCTGGCTGGAAAATCACCAATTTAAATGGGAAAACCAGTGACTTAGTAATTTCCAGCCAGGCAGGTAACCGTTTCCTGGAGGGTAAGTGGTGGTTTTCAGACCAAACCATGCCACCCAGCCACACTCTTGGTTGAACCCATGGCATATCAAACATAAACGTCCTTTTCTAGATGATAGTGAGAATAGGTTACCGTTTTTGGCAAATGATGATGCGTATGGTATACCAAACCGCCTTCTCGGTTTTTTCAACAGGACATCATTGGATTATCACAGGGACCAGATTCTTGTTTTCTGGCAATTTATGAAACATCCCCGTTTCAAGGAGTAAAATCTGATGGGTTGACACTTGATAAATGGTTGAAACCATAATGGTCAATCTATGAAACATCCCCAAAGTAAATGGTTCACAGCTGATAATCCGTTCATCCCAGGTTTGCTGGGATGCTTCACTGAAGGTTTTCGCCAGATTTCCTGTGTCATTTTTCCAGAGGTCACCAGATATTTTTCTGATCTTCGCAGAGCCAGTGCCGACTCCTTGGTCGATCCATGAAAATCACATGATCCCATTGAAATCCCATGGAAATCCCATAGAACGACCATTGAAATCCCATGAAACGACAATTTTTCTGCCCCATGACACAATTTTTTCACCATTTTTTCCGTCTTTTTTCCACCCCAAACGCACCGCGCAAAACGCCTAACGCACCGCACGCGGCGAGCCGCGCAACGCGAAATGCCAGGAATGTGAGCCCTGCCCCAGCGGAAGCTACGCGGCGGAGAGAGGCAGCACGGCCTGTGAGAGCTGCAGCGATGGATTGGTGGCACTGAGCAAAGGCAGCGATGGGTGGATGGTGCTAGATTTTGATGGTGTTTCAATGGAGGTTTCATGGGATTTTTATTGGGGGTTTTATGGAGGTTTTTCATGGGATATTGATGGGACATTACTAGTGATTTTCATGGGATTTGCCATAGGAATTCGTAGGAATTTACCTGTCTTAGAGATTTAATGGGATTTAACAGTGATTTTCATGGGATTGGATTCCGTGACTTTGGTTTTGCACCGGCGGGGAAAGCGAATTTCTTCCTTCGAAATGGAGTTGGCAATGTTTGGTTTCGACTCTTGACCCACACTCTTTTTTGTTGTGTATGGGTCGAAATGTTCAAAGATTCGGGGAACCACAGTTTTTAGTCGTAAGCTGGTTTAATACCCAATCTAGATACAGATCTACCTGCCATACTTCCAATTGTTAGCCTTGAAACCAACTTACGTATCACAAATCGCCTATATCAATTACCATGTTGGTTGGTTAGCTCATCATTTTTGGTTTGATCCCTATGTTTGGTGATTGCACTATCATCTAACAACTACAATTCCCAACTTTTGTTGACATTCCCATTTTTTTGGTTGGACTAAACCTGCATCCAATGGCTAAGTCCGCAACTCCGCAGGTCTGACAGGGTGCAACAACTGCAGTGCAGGACAGGGAACGACAAGAAATTCCGCTGGGTAGCCTGGGACAGCAATAGGATCCCCCAAGTCATCACCATAGGTGGTATGAACCATCAAGATATGGCTGGTGACATCACCAACATGGGAGAGTGCTATGGGATTCAAGCATCAACAGTACAGATTAGTTTAACTTGGATGTTTCATGGGGACTTATCACCGATTTTGATGGGATTTAATGGCACATGAATGAGATATTAGCGAATGCCCTGCAGTACTGTCAAACGTGGCTGGCTGGGAAATCCTCTATCAATGGAGTTTTTTTGCTGGAAAAGTCATCGAACTACTGTACATGATGGATTTTTCCAGCAAATAACGTTTGAGTACCAGAGGGTATATAGTTGTACAATTCTCTTATATACTTGTACATTTATATATTTGCATAATTTACATATGTTACATGGATACCGGTTCAGTTAATGGGATACAAGTCAAGGGGTGGTGATGACTGTGGCATTCAAACGACAACCATGTTCAACACCATTTGATCTGATGATGTCTGAAAATCGCCCAAGGATCTACAAGTTGCCAATCCCGCATCAGCATGATTGCAAACCCGCGAAGACATCTTTTTATGAGAAGAAACTCCAAAAGTGAAACTGTCTTCCGGGCAAATTTGTTCCAGGAAATTTCAACACGTACCATCTTGAAAGCATGACATGCTTTGGTGTTGCTGATTTGGTGGTCAAAAACCCATCAAACCAAACCTGCTGGATCCGAAGGTCCTGTGAAAACCAAGGGATAAAACATCCGGAACCCGGGCCTTTTTTTCCTAACCGAATCTCAACTTTGGATGGTACACATACCATTTCCTGATGGTTCGCTATATCCAAAATTTTCTGTGGTGGAATGGGAACTTTTGCTGCTTCAATGATATTCTTTGATACTTTCCGGGAAACTTTTTAGCCACCTTTTGATGATTGCCCTCAAACTAACATAAATGTTGACCCCCCCACCATGAATGTAGCATTTTCCGAACCTTTTTTTTTTTACCCATGGGCTTTTCCACATCGCTGTTGAAGACAGATCCAGACGGCTCCAGGACAAGAACCCTTGGGCACAGCCACCTGCCGCGACTGCACTGCGGGAACCTACCAGGTGAGATGCTCAACGCCCCGCTGGAGATCTGGGATTTTGGCATGGCATGGCACCTTCATTTTCTGGGAATCTGGAATGATAGGTGTTGAGAAATATAGGTTTTATTTTTTTGGGCCATTTGCGGTTTATGATATGGGGAAAAAAATGAGGTAATTCACATGTATTACTGTAATTGGATGTATCATCCGGAAATGGAATCTCTCCCTGAATTGAAGGGAACATTTACAGGAAAAGACACATTTGAATGGTGAAAACCAGGGTTTCCTGTGACGTCTTCCTAAACCAATCTGTTGAATATGTTTCGGATTTTCCATCATAAACCATCCAGCTATTGGGGTTTTCCCGTTTAGGACACCTCCATATCGAACATCCAGGACGTTTCCAGCGTGATGTGAACGGCCAGGACGGAAACCAGTGCGTGCCTTGTCAGTTGGGCTTCACCTCACCTCCCACGAGCCCAAGTCAGCAGTACTGTTTGCCCAAGCCCGAACTGTGCCTCGGCTTGCGGGGACCCACGGGGCCTGTCTGAATTGGGTCAAAAACACCCCGCAGGTCTCGTTGTTTTACTGGAAAATGGATGATTCACCAAGAGATTTTTGGGAGATACGTCATTTTCAGACAAACCCAGATAAAAAATGCACACACACACACACGCACACATATAAATAAATAGATAAATAGATAAATAGATAAATAGATAAATAGATAAATAGATAAATAGATAGTTTCAAATGAAACAAAATAATACATAAATAAATAGACATACACACACACACATATATATATTTATACACAAACATATCCATTGGAACCATCCATCAGTTTGGGGGCCTGGTTAGATGAATTGAAATTTCCTTCAGTCCCAAATCATCCAGTGGTAAATAGTGGGGGCACCCGCTTGTTGTGCAAGACATACATGTACAACCACAAAAACAGGGAAAAAAACATGTTGACACTTCGTAAGCGGGTGAACAAGTGAGCTATCACACCGCCACTTCCCTTGTCAACATCCCACCCAATGAGAGCAGCTTTCAAGTGAATAAATGGGAACTCCGCAACCTGTGCAGTCCATTGTAGACTGTGGTTTTGTGCAGCACCCTCATCTGAAACCCTCTTGAAACTGCGGATCTCACTAGTATATAAGTAGCTTACAAGGCCAATTGCAAGTGGATTAACCCTACTCAAACGGCTCACATACTGTGGGATATCGCCTGCTTCCCATGTGGGATAAAAAACACCAAGTAGATTGGCTTCTACGAAAATCTTCGCTGCCGTTTCAGCGTGCCGGGATGCCTAAGCAACGCTTCTGCTTCCAAAGTATTGATCCAACTTAGCTGTTGTCAACTGCTTGACATGGCAATCCACTAGACAAGCAGAAAGAAGCCAACAGTTATCACCAAATATGACATAATTTTCTTATTATGGTATCAAACTATTAACCATTATAACAACCAGACTAAGTCTCCAACCGTTTTTCACAAACTAAATTCTGATTCACCAACGATTCACAAAAAAATTGGCGAATCTGGTGGTCTGTAGTCAGAAACGCAGAGGATCTGGCTGAACCTCGTCCTGGTCCTGGTCTTTCTCTCCATCCTGCTGTTGCTGCCCCAGTTTTGCGGTAAGCCCGTGGCCGTGAATGCGTCTTGGCGCCCAGGGCTTGTCCCGTTCTTTCGGCAACTGGCAGGTTGGCTTAAAAAGCAAATAATAATAGGTATTGAACAGTAAGATATCCTGTTAAAGCAGTGATGAAGTGATTATGTAATTATATGTATATATATATACATATTTGGGGATTGGTGCGAATCAAGTCTGATTGGGATTTCATAGAAAAATACCTATAGGACGGTTGTATTTCTACAAGTATGACGCACCGGCGAACTTACATGATGTGCCCGAGTATATGCAACCCCACGGACCTTATACTAGGAGAACTAAATTTGGTCTGCGAGGTAGGGCGGACAACTAAGCAAGTACCAACCAACCAGGAGTCATGGTTTACATCATGGTTTGTGGACCGATAGCGTGGGTCACCAAATTGGTGACCCCATGTCGGTGTCATCCGAAATCTCTGATAGAACCCCCAAGGGTTCTGTTCATCGCATCTTCATTCAATGGATTGGTTTGCAAGTGAAAGTCAACGGGAAGCCCAAAATCAAACATGTTCAAAGCTACGACATGTTAGCCCTACGAAATATGGCTAACAAATCTTCGGGAAACCCTTTCTAAGAACTGCCATGGTTCTTCTAGCCATGGACCAACGCGCGGCCAAGGACATCTTTTTAGACGAGGGGAAGTTAGTCCTGCAGACCTGGGGAAATCATCAAGTTACCCTGCTGCATTCTCCATCCAGGGTCCAGGGCTATTGGTACCACATGGCAATATGTATATATATATATACATATGACATATGACATATACATATACATCTACATACACATATACATCTACATATACATATACTGTACATATACATATACATACACATACTCATACGGTATATATGTATATACTGTAAATAGAACTTTGCAAACACAATTTCATTTGGCCTTTTCACAATTAGCGCCAAAGAATTGGGCAGGTAAACTCCTAGGTTCATCTACAGAACAGCCCATTACTTTGGGACAGAAACAATGGTTTCCTGTAAATGTCCCTTCAACCAATTCATTGATCAACAAGGATCCCCATAGTCGGACTCAACTCTGGAAGCCTGGAAGGCATTCCTGCCACACTCTACTGGGCCCCAATTTTTTTCGAGGGCCTCTTTTGAACCAACACATCACCTACAGTTAGGACCCAAAAAACAGTTCTAAATGGGATTATAACTGCACTTTCCATAACATGAACCGTTTTCATCCTCAGTTGCCCAACATTTCGACCTTAAGTTGACCAAGAAATCGATGCAACATCGGTACCTGCTCCATTAAGGGCGACTTGAAACATGGACCTGGCGGCCGGGTAACTGGTGGACAGCCCAAGTTTTTGCTATGTGAGCAGTGGCTGCTAAACCCCTGTTGGTTGATGATTAGTTCGGGGATCAAAAACTACCCTTGATATTAATTGGGGATTACAATAATCCAAGAACGGGGAATCCCGTTCTTAAACAACCAGTATAATGGAACGAGAGGGGGATTTTGAACGCCGCTCATGTGAACTGAAGTGAAGATGATTTTCTACCCTCTGGTAATAAACCAACAGTTTGCGAACTGGAAGCCATGGCCAATTGATAGTTGATTTACTTATTAGGATGGTGATTTTCTATAGCTATGTTAGTATCCCAGATCTGATTTTCAAGGGGGATTTCCAACTATTGAGAGGACACCTCTGAAAAATCTCTGGCGTTGTGAGGTGGTTCGCTGGTCCTGTTTGCCGCCAATCAAAGTGAGACTGAAGGGGACGAATCACTACCTATTGGAGGAGGAGACTTGGGATGGCGTACTGGTTATTAAAAACGCTTTGCAATGGAAAATCACTATGTTCAATAGGTAAATCATCGCTAAAACCATCTATTTCTAATGGGAAAACCATCTATAAATGGAAGGTTTTAATGGGACAACCATCTATTTCTATGGGCCATTAAAAATTCCACTGCTGTGTTTTCCATCATCAGAGGGTTACACTTTTTTGGATTTCCATGGGACTTCGTTTTCATGGGGATAAAATCAGACTGATTTATGGATTTCATCAGTGATGGATATGGGATATCATGGGATATTGACTGGTGGATCCGTGGAAGGGTACCCGAATCATGTATAATCTGGATGAATTTGGTTATGACCTCATTTCGACGTCAGGACGGAAATGATGGTTAGGATTGGGATTAGGGGAATCATCCCCAAATGGCTGAACTGTTTAGGTGGTGAATCAGTACAAGTTATCCAAATGATACAAGCATTTGGTGTAGGTATGTATGTATGTATCTACCTATGTATGTAATGTAATGTAATGTAATGCAATGCAATGCAGTGCAGTGCAATGCAATGCAATGCAATGCAATGCAATGTATGGATGCATGCATGCATGCATATATATATAAATATATATATATACAGTATTACAATAATTGTAAAAAAACACTTGTGTCGAAATGTTGCGACCCAACCCCGGAAGACCTCAAGGTAGATGATGATGATGATGATGATGATGATGATGAGGTGCTGAATAGGTTCCACATGGCAGATGAAACTTACAATGGCGAACATTTTCGTTTGGCTTTATTGCATGGTGTCATGCCATATTTACCAATATGTAATCATATGCTCATATGGTTTGCAGCTTAAAAACTTTATTATCTCCATATTTAGCGTGTATATACTGTATACTACACACATATATATATATATACATATCTGTGTGTGTGATCATATTTTGTTGATTTCTGACACGACAGCCCCAAGCAAAGCCCACCCAGATCACAACAAAACCAGCCAGCCAGACGCATCAGAGAATCAGTATGCAGGGGTGGGCCTAGGGACAGTTATTATTTCACAAAGCACCCGATCGAAAAGGCGAAATCTGATTATGAATTGTATGTCTCGTGCATCACCTGTATATAACACATTTCGCGTCCCGCCATTTTTTCCACCATGCTTCTGTGCCCACACATTTACCTGCACGAAGAACGAGAATCACCTCAGATACGACCAATGGGACCAATGGGCAAAAACGACACTTTCCAGGTTTAGAGGCCCCTCCAGACAAAGGTGAACACTTGCAACTTATTGTATACCAAGGTCAACATCAGTAATTCTTACTATTTAACAACAAATCATTTCCAATCCCATGCAAATATTCATTCAACATCATTCATTCCATCAAGAATTCTGAGAATTGATTTCGAATCCCATTCAATGTTCGTAAAGCCATAGGATCCACCATCCCCCAATAGCAAACCATTTTTGGTGGTATCAAGCATCAATCCATATGTTGATATGTTGCTTGTCAATCTAAAGGACGGTTAGAACGGTTACAATCCCATTTCAGATCTTTAATTTAGTACATTTAGTAATTCCAATCATAATCCCGTTTTAAATATCTGAAACTGATTTGGAATTCCATGAAAAAACCCTACAGTTTTTGCTATGCCCAGGAGACTGGCTGTGGGCGCGTCTTCCGGGTGAAGTGGCGCGGTCTGGACGAGTTGTATCTGATGGACGCCAAAGGTGGGGTCGGGAGGATCTGGGAATGGCTGCTAAGTTAGTTCACCAGCCGTGAGAGGATCGTCATGACGGCCATGGCTTAGCAACGGGATGGTCCTTGAGGCCGGGTTTTTGATGTTTGGCAATGCATACCCGGCCTGGTAAACCAACAATTTGCGAACTGGAAAATGGCCATTGAAATAGTGGATTTTCCCATTAAAAATGGTGATTTTCCATAGCTATGTTAAATTACCACAGGGAAACATCCCATTGATATCGCCTAGTGACCATGGCCGATTTCTTCATTTTGGACATGTCCAGATCATGCCAATACTATTTGGACACGCCGTGTAACATGTGTTCTATTGCAGAGGAGATGATTACTTTTGTGTGGTAAAACCGGTATGAACCCAAATAATTACCTCACCTCTCAGAACCACCTAAGGTCACTAGTACCAATCCATCTACCAACAACCAAGTTTGCATGACCTGCAATTTTGGTTGTGTATATCTATTTATATCTATATCTATATCTATATCTACATCTACACCTACATCTATCTATATATCTATCTTTCTATCTTTCTATCTTTCTATCTTTCTATCTGTCTATCTGTCTATCTGTCTATTTTACCCATCTATTTACCCATCTATTTACCCATCTATTTACCCATCTATTGACCCATCTATTGACCCATCTATTGACCCATCTATCGACCCATCTATTGACCCATCTATCGACCCATCTATCGACCCATCTATCGACCCATCTATCGACCCATCTATCTACCCATCTATCTACCCATCTATCTACCCATCTATCTACCCATCTATCTACCCATCTATCTACCCATCTATCTATCTATCTATCCATCCATCCATCCATCCATCTATCCATCTATCCATCTATCCATCTATCCATCTATCTATCTACCTGTATGTACATATCTACATACATCTACATATATACATCTACATACATCCACATATATCTACATACATCTACATACATCTACATACATCTACATATATCTACATACATCTACATATATATATACATATCTACACTAATATATGTACATATACCCACATATATCTACATACATCTACATATATCTATATACATACATTTACATATATCTACATTAATATATCTACATATATCTACATTCAGATATCTACATATATCTACATTAATATATATATATATATACACATACATCTACATACATCTACATACATCTACATTCAAATATCTACACATATCTACATATAGTGCAACATATCTATGGGTATGAACAAAAATATATACATACACATATGTATATATATATATATACATACTCATACACGTTTACATATGTACAGTTTGTATATATATATATACATACACATATTATACATATTATACATATATGCACATATATATATACATATAAATACATATGTACATTCCCTACACATGTACATATCTGCAAGCCGGCGACCCACCACTGAGGCCAGCACATTACCGATGACATCAACTCCTCCACTGGTCAGATGTGGATTTTGCCCCGGTGCCGCTTGTCACGGTCACTGATGGCTGTGTCAATGAAGAGACCCAAAATGACTGATGGCTGTTGAAAAATTGGGAAAATATGGGAAAATATGGGAACATGCTGATTCACAATGAAACGGTGGGCCTATTTTCAGACACCCCCGCAATTTTGTAAATGATGGCGATTTGTTGGGAAATGGATGTCTCCACCTCTTTGACTTCATGTCGCCAGTTTCACCCTGTTAGTATTGGGGTAAAGTGATCTTGAAGGAGAACGTACAATGAACCCTGAGATGTTCGCAACATGTGCGGTGGAGACCCTCAGACACATGAAAAGTTATCTGGTTGGTGGTTTGAAATACTGGCTGGTTAAATGGGATACAACACATCATGGGGATATGGGACTATAACGGAGATGTAATGGTTATTTAACATAGCCATGGAAAATGGCCCATTTATAGATGGTTTACGTACCTATTAAAAATGGCGATTTTCCATGGCTATGTTAAATAAACAGATGGTAATGGTTATTTAACCAATCATGATTTGGTTGGTGGTTTGAGATATGCTTTATTTATGTATGCAATTTTTTCATCCCTGGGAGGATTTTTTCGGCCTCCTTGCCAGCACGAACAAAAAAATCGATCCTTCAGCTCACTTGATTTTCCTAAGCTAACACAAGAGAACACACAATTTCATCCATTGAAATATATATATATTTATACACATGATATTCAAATCCCAATGGTTGCTTGACGAATCGATTGGTCAACATGGTTTCTCTTTGTTCTTTTTTAATATGGGTCGGCAATGCTGATCCCACGTGCATATATACTGTATGCATATATCCCATTCTGAGCGTTTCCATAGTGTATCTCTAGTTTTTTTTTTTCAATCTATAATAATAATATATATATATTCATCTATCAATCCATCCGTCCACACATATACATATATGTATATATGTATATATGTATATATACATACATATACATACATACATGCGCGTCCTATTCCAGGAGCATTTTTTTCTCCCCTTTGGTTCCTCAACGGCGACCACAAGGCACTCTGTGGGGCTCCAGCTTCTGCAAGATCCCGGCGGCCATCGTCATGCTGCTCGGCGATGCCGGTGAGAAGGTACAACTGGGGCACCCCAGTTGTGATAGCCATATGATACCACAGTTTTACATAGCAACCCCAGTAAACCCCAAAAAGATCGAGTAAATCCCCACTGAAATAGTGCTAAATCACACTTTTCTTCATCTTTTTTCTTGGTTCCTATAATGTTCTATATGAGTTTTATATGAGTACTATATGAGTACTATATGAGTTATGTAATGCTACATAATATGGGTTCGATAGAGCTTATACATGGGCTAGACAGCGGTTTTATATGAATTAGATATGGGTTATATATAGGTTATAAACCATTTGCGATTTCCGGGGTGCACGTCCAAATAGAGAACACACATTTATTAAAAGTTTATCCGACTGAGTGGGCTTTGTACCCGGTCTTTTCAGTGACGTACAACCCCATTTCTCTGGCAGATAGTGACCTAGTGTTTGACTAATGTACTTTCACCCAATGCTGTAATTCTAATAATCCCCAGTTCACGACTAATGTAATACCAAATGTAATTCTAGTGCGATTCATACCTGATTTCCGGGCTGCCTGTATAGCCTCCGGTATACCTGCCTGTCACATGACTGTAGTTGATTGCTGGTCCCTGCAGTTGCTTGATAAGAAATTCTACCAATATGAAACATAAACTACAATTGACATTCTGTTTTATCAATCAACATTCTATTATTGTTGAATATTTTAAATATAAATTGATATTTATATCAAATATCAACATCTATATCTACTAAATCCACTGTGTATTATCTATTTCTACCAGAATTTTGATTCTTCCAATTTTTCATATCTAATATCTAGATCTACATGCTCTGTGTGTACCTATATCTAATATCCATATCCATATCTGCATCCACAACTATACACATATATATATATAACATCTATATGTACACATCCATACAACTGAACAAAATAAATATATCAACACACTGCTTTGGGAAAACAATATATATCTGGTTTTGCCATCATCTTCAACCAATTCAATACATCATATCCTTAATTGACTTGCCAAGCCAGTTGGAGCTCGGCCATGGGTTAAGTTACCCCTAAAAGACCCAAAGATAGCCTTGCTTAAAGATCCTCCAAGTTGTCAAATCCTATAGTCATTCCATAGAAAAAGACACAATTTATCCCATTAGATCCATAAATTGTCAAGGTTTTGATGCTTAAGAACTACAATCCCAGTGAAATCCCAATCCCAGAAGCTTTGAGATGCCGGACGCAGAACGTTTTTCGCTCGGCCAAGGCTAGTGCTTCTGGTGATCTTCGCTTTCTGCATCTATTTGGCCATCACCAACGGTTTCGGAGAGGACGAAAATCGCGTGCTTTTAGATCGGGAAAATGGGTGATTTGAAGGAGCAAAAGGGGTGATTTAAAGCAGCAACAATAGGGATTTAAGCGGAACAAATACGCATATCAGGCAGCAAACGTGTTGATTTCCATCGAAATCGAAGAAAAATGGAGCTTCAAGCAAGCAACATGGGAATTCAAGAGAACAATTACGGGGGATTAACCAATATTTTGTGGTGATTTGGGAAAATTGGAGATCTTGGATGGACAAGAATAGGGCTCCGAGGAACCCGGGGTTGAATTAAAACCCAGCGTTCCATCTATGTGATAAAATCCGCGACAGGTTGTTAGTTTTATTTAGGTTTTTTCCCTAAAGAGGAACACCATATATATATATAGATATATATATAGGTATAGATATTGTATATATAGATATACTATATATATATATATAGATACTATATATATATATAATTTATGTTTCATGGTCAAAAGCCACAGGTTTCCTGCAACATGTCTCCAATCCAGTCCCAAGTACGATGTGGATCTCTCGACAACTCGAGGGGGGCCTGTTTTTTTTTCGGTTCAACACAGGTTTTGAATCATCAAACATGGGAAAATCGGAAAATCATTCACCCAATTCTGCATCGTGAAATCGCTTTTTTTGGAACTCGCTAAAAAATCCGGCGGGTATAGGAATGTTGCTGTCTGAAGGGTCGTGCTTGTTTAGGGCCTAGGGACATCATGAAAGAATGACAAAGTACGGTATGTTATGGTGTGGTTCAAGGGTTTTTTTGCAAGTGTGTCAGTGTGTGTGAGAAATCAAAAGAGTTGATGAGAAGCCAATGGCACGATTGAAAGTGAAGCTTTGGGGAGTTTCAGGTGCCGCAGCCTGCAGCTCCACCGTGGACCCCGGAGCTGACCCGTGCACCGGAGACGCCTCCGCGCCGGTTGCGCGCAGCTCCAGCTCCGGGGATCCTGCGTTCGGCGACAACTCCGCGGCCACGCCACTGGGCGCTCAATTTTTTTTGTGCGGTACTACTGGTACTTAATCCCAAGGGAGAGGATGTTTTGTGCCATCACCATAAAGACATTGCGCACCAAGTTCTGGGTGGTCTCAGGGTCTCAGGGTCTCAGGGTCTCAGTGACTTGGTTGTTACTGAGTGAACTGAAAGAAGAGGAATGGCTTCGAGTTGAAATAAGTTAGCATATATTATTGTGTGCGCCCATGTCGGATTAGCTTGCCGACGCATGCGGGAATCGTCAGGAAGGGGTGTGTGAGAAGATAAGGCAGAATCTGTGAACAAAGGATGGTGCAGGGGAGTGTTGTGATGCGAATGGGATGGAACTATTGATTGATGCTTGATGCGAGAATGCTGTCGGAACAAGCTTGGCGACAGGAGGAGGAGCCGGTGAAGGTGGCGATCCAGAACTACAAGAATCTGGATCTTTGGGTGTTGTGGCCTTGGAAAGGTTGGCACGCACCGTGGTGCAGGAGAATAATTCACATACATGCCCCCCCTTGCGCAATTCAAGAAATATTATGATTATGTAGTGTTGTGTATGTAAAGGAGTATTTACGATACAGAGGCGATGGCTTGGTCTCTTCGTTTGTATGAAGTAGATTGGCAAACGGTGAGCCTATTTTAGCTGATGTATGGTCGGTGTTTTAAAAAACATGATGTGCCGGACGAGGCCACACGCGGGAGCACTCGTGGAGTGCGACCGCTGCCACCACCTGCGGCCGTATGGGCACGGCTTTTTTCAGGACAGGAACTTGCATTAGTCGCTTAGACAACTTTGACCATGTACGGACCACGAGAGTTTGGAATTGACATGTTTTTTTTCTTTGAACAAAATTCAGGTCAGGTCTGGTACGTGCAAATGTGATCTCAATTTTGTTCGATTGAAGAAAAGGGACTTTGTCCATCCATGGTTTTGCGTGAGTTTTGCAATCTAGAGGCATGACCGAAAAGGAGGTTGTTGGAAGTTGGTTGATTCGCAGGACGTGGGTGCGTCCCAGTTCACCGGCAGTGTGTCAGACGCTCAATGGAGGAGCCTTTGAAATTATTTTCAACGCGGCCTAGGTGCTATATGTTGCTTAATCCGATTCTTTCCGTTATTAAGGTTTGTCATTTTTTCTTGTTGTTGTGCCCGGATGAGTATTTAGACATCACTATTTGAGTCCTTTGTCACATGGGAGAATGTATAATTTGTTTGCTTTACAGTGATTGTTGCACCACTATCGTGTATGATTTAGATGGGATTTGGGTCGATGTAGTGTTTTAAAATGCCTACAGTGATCAGAGAAAAGCAGTTGGTAATTTTGTTTTATTTGCAGAATGTAAATGACAGGTGCATGCACCTTTGCATTGAAGGAGTATCTAGAATTTACAAGATTATCAAGATGCGGTAGTTGTTTTGAAGCATTGGTGAAGAAATGATGGTGCGTATTCCAATGCCAAATGTTTGTTGGTTGA